AATGTACGACATTCCAGCATCAAGAGCAAATATTGTCACAGGTACTTCTGTCACCAAGAAAAAGTTTCATTATTTAATTATTATTATTATGTATTTACCATGGTTTTCATAGCACAATATATCCAAATTAGTTTTTATATCCAAACTTTTGGTGCAAAAATTGTCATATATTTCTTGAATAACAGTGTGACATCAAAAAAAACAAGTCAGTGTTGTTGCCTGAAATGTTCACTTTTGAATTCCAAAAATGTTTTGACTTTGTAAAATTTATCTTGACTGAATAAAATTTATTTCTTTGTCTGGTTACTCAATTTGCAAGAAGGAAAGATAATGGAACTTTTATATTAGCATTTTTATTAATTTTAATTAAAATTAATGAATTAGTTTGTTTCTTCAGGTGCTGTCGTTATACCCAGTGCGGTGGTGGGTATCATCACAGGAGGTGTGGTAGTCAAAAAGTTCAAGCTCACCCTGGAAGGTATAGGCCGACTTCTGGTGTGTATAGCCTTCCTGGCCTTCCTGGTGACACTGCCAATATTCTTCCTGGGCTGTGAGAGTGGAAAACTGGCAGGGGTTACCACTCCTTATAGGTGGGCTTTATGATTTAATAATAATAATAAGTATTAATAACGTTTACCCAGCCAGCTTGGTCAAAGAATTTTGTAAACCAATTATTTTGTTGATGTCATCTTCCTTATTCTTAGTACCTGTCAAATGGCTCTGATATGTGTTGACTTATAAATAGCAACTCAGCATCTGTAGTAACCATAACAAATCCACTGTTCATTTTTTCTGACAAAGTTTTAAAAATCAGTGCAAAATAAAAAGAAGATTTCAAATGTGATATGCTGCTAGGTTGGACGATGTGCTGTCAACAGTCAACTTGTCATCAGAGTGTAATGTCAACTGTCACTGTAGTGACCAGCACTATGCTCCAGTCTGTGACAGCCATGCTGGAATGGCATACCTCAGTGCCTGTCATGCAGGATGTCATGTTGTCGATGTGACACACATAGATGGAATGACGGAAAGTGTCAAGGTATGAGACATGGTGCTGAATTTTTCAATTGTTTGAACTAACCTGGGTTTAATATCATTGAATGAATTTTAACAGGAATGTTTATTACTTAAAATTTTGAATTTATCTGCCTCTAAAGGAAATTTCACGTGTGTTTTAAGTTCTCTGCTGAAAATGACTGGTTGCTCTTTACTACTTCCAAACAAAGCAAATTAAGGTGGTACATACTTGAATGGCATTCACCTCTCCGAACATCTAGGTTGGATCAGTTGCTAATGTGCACGACTTAAAATTTGGCACTTATTTTTTGAAACTTTGTAACAATTTAAATTTTTTATTTATACACTTGCACTATCTCATTTATACAATAGCAGTATATGTGGACCATCTGGATAGTTCGCTTCTTTTTTAGTCAGGTAAAAAAAGGTACATGCCTTTTAGAGTAATTTAACATCTTCCTTCCTTTCTTTGCAGAATTATTCCAATTGTGCCTGTCTTGGGTTGTCCAGTCCCTTGGCTGATGGTTGGTCAGTAGTTGAAGGCAAGTGCAGCAGAGAATGCAATACTTTCATCCCATTTGTCCTGCTGTTGTTTTTGGTAGTTTTCCTCATCTGCTGTGCTCAGAACCCAGCTCTTATTATAACTCTCAAGTAAGTATATATATATATATATGCCTCAAATAAGTATGAATTTATTTGTGCCTGTCCATTCATATGATTTAGTTATTTTTTGTCAATTCACTGCCTTCCCATTGATTCAGTTTCAAGTTTAAACGACCCTGTCATAAATTCAGCATCTATTTTCGTCAATTCAATTGTCAAACATTTCTCATCAACGGTGTATTAAAACCAATGCTGTCACCATTTTCTTCGATCGTGTAACTATTCTCGTCGTCAAACTATTTTTGTCGATCGTGTAACTATTCTCGTCGTCAAACTATTCTCGTCGATCGTCTAACTGTTCTCGTCGATCCTGTAACGTCACTTCATCATTCATCGATCGATCGCCAGAGGGCGCTGCGGTAGCACATTGACCTATCACATGACTATCAAAATGGCAGACAACAAAATGATTGCTAGTGAAATAAGAAAATTTTCTCAACAATTTCAATTTAAATTGTTAATAATTAAAATCTATTCGGTTGTAGGGACATTATTTTCTAGTTGTTTTCAACTCTGACCATGGCTGGCCGAGTTAAAAATTGCCGCGTGATTGACAGACAGAAGCACTTGTTGCTACCGCAGCACCCTCTGGCGATCGATCGATGAGACGATTGACGAGAATAGTTACACGATTGACGAGATTAGTTGGACGATCGACGAGATTAGTTACACGATCGACGAGGATAGTTAGACGATCGACGAAAATCATAAGAGCATTGGTTTTAATACACCATAGATGAGAAATGTTTGACAATTGAATTGACGAAAGTAGATGTTGAATTTATGACAGGATCGTTTAAACTTGAAACTGAATCGATGGGAAGGCAGTGAATCGACAAAACATAACTGAATCAACGACATTAATTTTTGCCCTTTTGGCCGCCCATACATTCATATTCAAGAAATGGAGAAGAGTTTTATAATTGAATTGGCAAATGTACATGTAGGATTGTTTAAAGAAACACCTATTTTTAATGTTCTTTAGTTTGCTATTGTTGGGTGGCTTTTTATAGATATAATATATGAATGGAGACATCATTTTATTCAATTTATTTTAATTTATTTATTATTTTATTATTATTTTTTTACAGGAAAAGTTGTTATTATGCTCATCCATATTAAATACTGGTACATGAAATTGATAATTTCAGAAGTGTGAGCAGTAGCAGCGAGAGGTCCTTTGCCCTGGGAATGCAATACTTCCTCTTGCGTGCTGTGGCCTTCATCCCAGCACCAATCTATTTCGGCTATCTATTCGATACCCAGTGCATACTTTGGCAGCCATCTTGTGAGAATGGCAAACAAGGTGCATGCTGGGAGTACAGCATTGAGAATTTGCCATATACCATGTTTGGAATGGCGTGCGGACTTCGCATCCTTGGATTCATCTTCATATTATTGACTTACTTATCAATAAAAAGAGATGGACGAAGAAAAGGATGTATGCAGCTCGCTAATGGTGGAAAAGATTTAGATCCAAATAAAATGGTGCACAGTGTCAGCACTGTTAGTTGCGATACCATGACCTCTAGTGTGAGCTCAGACAATGGTGTCAAGCCAGTTCGTCTGGAGACTTACATTTGATTCATATCAAAATGATGATAGAATCAGTCTTATACTGGTAGCTCTATATCAGTTTTGTGGGCCTTGAGTTTCAGAACCATAATATCCTACCAGTGTTTCATGTAAGTGTGTTTGCAGGGCTGAAGAGGGGAGTTTTTAATAAACTCTTAAAACCTCTAGTGATTATACCAGTATGTTAAATGTTAGCCTAATAATTATTGGGTACGCCCCCCCCCCCAAAAAAAAAAAAAATGTGATAGCCACAATCAAATGTTTTGCCTGCCTTACCTAAAAACTTACATAAGAATATGCTTATATATTTATCAATTCTATTTTGTAGTGTTTGTTATAATTTTATTTTCATTGTTTAAAGTTACCAGAGATTGGGATAGTTTTTAAGCCCGGCTCTTAATACCTCCCTGTTACTGATTCACTTTTAATGATAAGAATTAATATAGTACTTTGTTGTTAAAAAGTTCTTCCCCAGAGTTGAAAAGCAAGAACACACAACTAAATGTGTGCTTGAACATGCATGCACGCACAAACACACATTATTGCAATTTATTAAAATTGTCTCATTTTGACGAATATTTTATTTCAATTGATGATGAAGCTCCTAGGCTGTCTGCTGCACAACTGAATGTTGTGTGTGTAAGAATACTCAATAACTGGTCTTTTGTGGGTGATTGAATTTTTAAATAGATTATACAATTCAAAAAAAATTTTTTTAATCTGAGGAAGAGTTTTAATATCTGAAATCTGTCCATCATATTAGCAGCCATGCTGTTCTTAACATTCCTTTTATAAATTATTTTATGCATTTTAATTATTTTTAAGACGATTGTTGTGTTGTGCTTTGGGCACAAATGAACAATTATTTGCTGTCTGTTGAGTTTTTATCAGGGAAAATCTTCTTATATCTTTACTGATTCAGAAGAAGATGAAGATTACAAGGGTAGATATAGCCTCTCACAGATGTTTAATAAAAATGTATTTTTACAATTTTTTGAATATCAGGGCAGATAATATTGTCTACAAAGGTAAAGGAATCAAACCTGACAAATTATGTAAGAAGTAGGAAAAAAGTAGAAAAAATATATTAGAAGTAGGAAAAAGGTAGAATGAATTGTATGGAAATTAAGCAATGTAGGATTTATTTAAGAACAACGTCATAAGGAACTTGCAGTTGTACTTTTCAAATAGATTCTTACAAAATTTTTGAGGTGGACTTTTAAAGCTGCCCTCGCTACCATTCCATGTTAGTTACTGTGATAATTAAGATGAAAGAAGTGTTGTTTTGCCATTGTAATAATATTGCCCATTCCTTCTGCAGGGTGACTTTGTTAGAATAGCACTAGGTCTGATAAAAGTCTTTTTTTTTTTTTCACTTAAAGATATGAAATATTGGTTGCTGAAATACTTAATGTTGTATAGTTCCATCAGTTGTGTGCTTTCAGTAGAATGGTAGATTGGTAGTTCTTTTTTCAGCTTTATTTTAACTTAAAATGGCTAGAAAATCTTTTAAATAAAGAAGCAAAGATTACATGAACTTTATTAATGTAGAATGGATTCTTATTTTTCAATCTCATTCATTTGTGATGACTTCTGTAGTAGGGTGAGATTTACAATAGTTGTACAATGTAACAGCTTATATCATTGGTAAAGNAAACATTACAAGTGCAGACAGATTTTAGTGCACTACCCGTACAATATACAACAACCTGAGGACATCATCTACTGGACAAAACAACCATAATCTGTTGACAATTAACAGAGGAGGTATTCTTTGTGAACATGTAAAAACTAAATCACACAAAATAAATCAGAGGATCAGAGATGCCATGGACACATCTCACTTTGTATGCACTACCAGCTGGATTAGTTTTAAAGTAGGGAAAAAGACACCAGTGTCAGTCATTCAAGGTAAACCATTGTGAAATACTGTGAGACCCATTGGAAGAAGACAATGAAAATAAAAATGTAATATATTAAAGAACAACAACAACAAAAAAAAAAAAACTCTGAGAGCACGTAAATCATGTAACTGCAGAATGCCTCCAGCTTAGCAAGCTGGTGGTACACTTCAAACAAAAATAAATAAATATATAAATAAATAAATCACCAAGCAAAAAACTGTCTTCCAAAAGAAAAAATAAGGACAACTTGAAAAAAATACACAATAACCTTTTGAATAATTAACACTTGCAATTTGCCTTAATCTTCATGACTAGAATTATAATCAAGATAGTGAAGAAAAATATTCCATGGAGAGAGAGGGCACTATCACAGTTAATAAAGACAGGCCACACACATCTTTACCTAGGTAATCAACATGGACATATTAACAGCATTTTTAAAGGGGGTAGAGGGGCTCTACAATTACATGATCAGGTTTGTCAATTCAATCCCCAGTGATATCAAGTCCTGAAAATTAAAAAAATCCAAAAACTGTGGGTTTTTGGATGGGGAGGGGGGAAGTGTCAGGGCACCACATGTATCTAATAACCAACGACTAATGCAACTATGTGATCCAAGGGAACAGTGGGACTGCAAACCAACAATATTCAGGCTTTCAAACAACTAGTTTCCAATTGGCTACAGTAGCACTACTGAGGGAGCACAACCAATCTGATACAGGGTATGGTACACCATGCAACAGCTAGCTTACGAAGAGTAGATTTTATGTGCCTCCATTGCATGGCGAAGCTCTTTGGGTGACACAACTCCATCTTTATTTGTATCAAACTCCTGTGAAGATATGGACGATAAGAACAGATACAGTACTTAAGGCATCAGGTAGTTATAGCTACAGGGTACTACTGTAGCAGGTCAATAGCTGTGAAAGCTAGCACATTTCAAGCCCTTTGACTATGGACATGTAAGACCCATAGAAAAGCAGCGCTGATATATACCAGTAGATGGCAGCAGTAGCATTGGATGATTTCACTCTCATGCTCCGTCTGCAGCTCTTTACTCTGTAGCAAGGATCAGTTTCAGAATAAAAACTTGAGACACAAAATTGGTCTCGACTTTAAGACCACCACTTTTACTCAATATTGATCCAAAATAAATGAGTTGTAGTGACATCCATTTAGCTTAAATATTATGCCTGATACATAAAAGGAAAGAAAAAGAATTTTTTATACCAAAGGCAACTTATTTCAGTGAACTGCCAAATCAACGTAAACAATAATTTAGAAAAAAAAAATTGGTCAGTGGTCTTAAAGATAAGACTAACTTTAGATGTCCAGCAGTGATTGCAGAGAAGACAGATTTATTATGAAAATCTTTCACTTCAGTCTCAGAATGGTGCAATTATTGCATGTTACAAAATCACAGCTTTTAAATAAAAAAGATTAAAAATTAAAACAAATTTTGCTAAAAAAATGTGGACAGGAAAAAAGATAGATCTAATAGATAAACCAAACAACACCTCAAACTGCATTTCCATCTCAAACTGCAATGAAAGAATTTCATGGGTTGAAATTGCCCTGAACCCTACCATCAACCCGTGCCTACTGCAAGACAAACCTTTTATACATCTTTTGATCCAGCATAGCTCGACGGAATTCTTTGCAAGATATCCATCCATCTTTGTTTGTATCAAATTCCTAGTAAGATGCAAGATTATTTATTTCATGTGTGAATGTCACAAAGAAGTGATTAGATGTGCGAGGATTGCAGTTAGTAGAAGCTCGGGGAACTGTTCAAGCTAATACCAGAATTACAATTTAAGAAAATAATAATAATAAAACTATAAATTTTGAAACATTTTCAATTTTGACTGGAAGAAACAGTCAAGATTTACCAATTAATTATATTTTGGTGTTTTCTACAATATGTAAATGGGCCTTTTTTATTTTTGATGATGATAGTATATACATATACAGTTCCTTTCAGCTTGAACATGCCCTTACGTATCATTCACTGCTAAGATTAGGCCAAGATAATTGAACAGCTGAAACAAAATATGCAAAGAAGACCACTTCAAAGCAGTATATACCTGAAAGCAGAGTAGATGAGATGAATATGAAATATCTCAATTTTCTCAAGTATGCATTCATGCAATAACAGCCTGAAGAATAACCACTTCAAACATATCAGTACAGACTATGCAAAGTCAAGCAGAGCTCTCAAAACAAACTGATCAAGATACCAAACATGCCTAAATAAGAAAGCATAAAGTATTTATAAAATAGTAACAGGAAAAATATACAATACTCTTCAAGGTACTGGTACAAGTTACACACCGTTTGTACATTTTCTGTGACACCATATTGTCACGAAATTCTCTTGGTGACAAAACTCCATCACCATTTTTGTCTGCTGCCTGAAATATGCCAATCACAAATAACACACAGGAACAGAGTTAGTAGAAAATAGTGCTTCATCAATGAAAAAACCTTTTGTGCTCATTATAGGTTTCATACAACAATTTCATTCAGAACCCACACGTGAAAATTCCGAAATCCAAACAAAGAACAGGGTGTTTCTAATGTGCAACCTATATGCTTGCTCTTTAAAAACTCATAGCACAAATGCCACAAGTATTGTGAATTACAACAAATAAATAAATAATTACAAAATCTGATTTAAAATATTTACAATGACTTGATAGAAAAATTGAAATTTGTAGTGAACATTCAAAGCTGACATCTTTCTTTTGGTATAATATATAAAAGTATTTTCTAGCACTATAAAAACCAGTGGGTCTTTAAACAATACAGGTGTGTAGATCCATATATACATATAATATGTAACGCATTTAATGAAAATATATGTCAAATTTCTTATAGCCATTCTGAAAACTGAGGAAAAAAATGGGAAAGACTGGGATACATTCATAACATGGGGTATGTTGCAAGAAATTTTAAAATTTATAACTTCAATTTAAACCAATTGAAAAAAATGGAATACTGAAGCTGTTAACCACAATGTAACAATGGTCACTTAAAGAAAAATAATTTCTGAAAACAAAACGGAATAACTTTTCACATGCATCAACACTCATTTCAAAAATTAACTTTAAGTTATTATGATATTGCTGTGAAACACACTGTAAAAGTGCATTTCGTTAAAAAAACCACTAATTTATATGGATATATTTTTCAAATAAATACAAACAGCTGATAAAAAATATTCCAGTTATTTACACCATGTACAAACATAAAAAATCTAGATTTCAATAAAACTTAAATAATCAAATAAAAAAGAACTGCATTTTCTTACCAAGAAGGCCTCTGAAGTTGTCATATCCTTCATTTTCAAGAATATATCAAAAAACTTGAGGATCATCTAAAAAAGAACATGATATAATAAGAACATGCATTTGTCTTAAATCAAAAGTATACAATAAACAAATTCCCATGGTATTTGAAAAATACAATTCTTGACACAAGTTGCTAAGACATTGTTCTTCCTATACAATTGCTGATGTAACAATTTAGGTGGATATCTCAATTACAGTGAGGTTACAACCTAAGCCCGTAGCTGGATTCACTCCATGATAAAATTTCTTTTGGTCAAATTGCTTGACCGATTTGTTTTATTTAAGCCAAATCAAAGGCAATTATTTCATCATTGATGAATTTACCTTGCTTCCCCACCTCAAAAGCAAAACAAAAAAAAATTGGGGAAATATTACACAGTCTCTAGCAAAATAAGTACATGTACTTGGCTAAAATTTATCACCCTAAAGAAACCCCAGAATAGTGTGTACGTAACTAGTGAAGTTCCCATCATTCACCTCAACATTGGCAGATGACTCCACTAAAGTGTCCACCATCTGTTTTCCAATGGGTCCATTCATGACATTCCCTGGTGAGAGAAAGTACACATTAATTACTCCTCCAATTTAACAATAAATGACAAACTGTGCTAAAGGTGATTTGTGCTGCACTCTTTTTCGAACTAAAGTCACTTTTATTCATTAATTTGTAATGATTTTTAATTGACATATTGCCAAGAAAAAAACAAAACATAAGACTACAGGTGAAAAAGTCCATCTCATGACCTAAAATAGACAATAATTAAATAATAATGCTTGAAATTGAAAAGAATGAACCAAAGTACCTTCCAACATGGATAGCAACATAATCATCATATCTTTTTGTAGTTTCATAAATTCTCTGAGGAGTTCAAGTTGTTCTGGATCCTGAAGAAAATAAAGTAATTTTTAGTTCTGCAATACCAGTAAAAATCAACATACGTACTCAAAACTACATTTTGAATTTTTATTCCAAATTTTGGTTTCATTTCTTACATAATTATTACTACTAAGTATAAACCCAAACAGGTGGGGGATTTTTAATTATTGATTTCTACAGCCAGAAATGACTTTTTTGAAAATTTCTCCCCATTTTTTGCTCCTTAGACTGTAAAAACACATAATTACAGGTTAATTTCTATAGAAAACCTAATGTGTCCTTTCTTCCTAATTTCCAACTGTTTATGAAGATCAAATGTTACCTTGGACAATTTATCCTGCATGTGAGCAAAGATATAGAGGAATCCTCCAACTGCATCCCACAATCTACTGTGGGCCAAGGCCAGCTGATTCTGTGAGCAGGGACCCTGAAAATAGTAATAATAATAATAATTCATTTATTTAAGTCATTTATTTTATTCATTTAAGTCTAAAATCCACAAAAATACAAACTAAAGTTAAAAGGATTATTTTAAATTGAAAGTAATAGTATCAAAAGTAAAGAGAAATAATAATAATGTATCTATCTATAGAAGCAGATTTATAAATAAGAAGCTTCAAGGTCTGTTCCACTCACCTGTATATACTCAGTGAGTGTCCTGAACACTTGCTTGGCCACCTTGATGGCGCGGACAAAGTTGTCCTTGCCAGCTGGATCAATGACATCTTTGCCTGAGTAGTGCCAGTAGAAGTCCATAATTGATTCCTGTAGATATACAGTACACATTTATAACAATGTAAATGATAAAATATTGTTACAAAAGTAGTTCCTAAATCAATTAAAAGATAATCTTCAATAAAATGACAATGTTTTTTTTCAGCACATATATACATTTTATGCAATAAGCTATGACCTAAAAGCAAATGCACCAATATATACAGCCAAAACAGAACTATATATCAGTTCACTGCCACAACACACAATGGCATCAATATTTGCTTTACCTACATAAAATTGTTGACAATAAGTAAAATTCCTTATATTATTCAGATGATACTGAGTATACTCATGTCCAGATATTTTGTAATACCTGTAATCTAAGTAAATAATCCACAGTGCAGATGATGATGTTGACTGTTGTATTGTTCCCAGCCTGTGTTCTCAGGTAGTTCTGGAACTCTGCAATCAGAAATTTAAACCATGTGCCCTTCACAAAGTTACCAAATAGAGGCTAATATCTGCATAATAATACTTGAGCTAGTGCAATGATTTTAGTCAGATCAAAAATTTGAAATAAGTCAGTGAATAAATTGGTGAAAAACTGTGACATTTTTCAGTTTTCTATAGCCAAATTAAAGCAAGTTGAGCATTTGGCTTAATTATCTATGCTAGAATAAGGCCAGAATAAATTTGCAAAGATACAAAAGAAATATTTTCCCATTTGGCTAAAGAGATAAAGAAAAAAACTATTAATTTTTTGTACCAAAATTTAATAATCAGGTTCAAATGTTGACTCTGTATATACTGAATTATAAAACTTTTTGACTTAAGAAATTATAAGTCAAGTGCGGTTTTAACAAAAGATTAATATCAGAACAAATAAGACAATATTTCTCTAAAAAGTTTCATGAAACTGGTCTGGACCACTGGGGTACAGGTTGTCTACATCTTCCAAACCTACCAAGGTTGTGCCCTTCACACAGTAACTGCAAGAAACGGAATAGTTTACACGTCTGCTCAGCATCATGGAGATTCTTGACGCCTGCTGCCCCCTCACTGCCAACACCCAGGCTTTCTGCCTTATTGTTCCTCTCAAAGGCATCCAGGTCCAATACACTGCAGAAAAAAAGAATATCTCTCATTATCTCTGAACCACTTTTAGATCCCTCCCCCCCCCCAAAAAAAGAGAAAAAAACATTTTTTTCAAATAATATGCTAAAAACCATAAATTATATATAAATTATCATAAATTATATATAAATTATTATAAATCATATATAAACAAAGTTCCTTACCTGCATCTCTGCATCATTCCAGCAATAGAGGTGAAGAATCCGACATCTTTCTTTTCTCTCAGATGTGTCAGCATACGCTACGTATGGATATAAAAACCAACTGAAAGTTTATGCTGCAGCTGGTGTTGGGGAAAGTAACAAAATACTGCTCCAAAGAATTGATGACATTTTTAAATTTTGTCCAGATGTTTGAAACACCCATGCATTTTGGTATAAAAATAAAAACCTTGGAAGATTATTTAAAAGAAAAACTCACTTTATAAAATATGTACACTAGTAAAAACCTGTAAAAATAATCTGACAATCATGAAAATACACACATATTACAACCAGAATGCTGAGAGCTAACTTACCGACTGAATTTCTTCATTACCTCCACGGAGCAAGGAGATGCCTAGATCAATAGTGTTTATCACCATATCTGTCCAAGCACCTGGAGGACAAAAGCAACAGATTTAAATTGATCACTTAAAATTCTTCAAGACTTTTTTTATCTATGATAACAAAATTATACTGCTGTATGTATTCTTTTATTATATTACTGTATTGTCACCCTGAGCTTCAGAGATAACTTGACACTAACCTCTTCACTATAGCCTATCTTCATCGTGTCAAGTTACCTCTGACGAAAATAGTTTGACCTAGTTTATATAAGCCAATCGAATCCAAGTTTCAAAAATTTTCACCAAAGTTTGGTGAAAACGCTGATTGGTTGATCGTCAATCGTCAATCCTCAGCTGATTCCGCAAGCTCCATACTAACAACAAAGTTATTGTCGAGTGCGGAGACATCCGAGTAGTTCCGAGTGCATAACCGTACACAAAGAAAGCATGGCGTCTCCTACGAGTGACTACGTAAAATAATGTGTTAAGTTATCTCTTGATTCTTTGCAAAATATGAGTATATCGGAATTGAAACCAGAGCAGTTTGAGACCCTGCATCATTATCTACTGAGAGATGATGTATTTTGTGATGATGTATTTTGCGTGCTGCCCACAGGTTACGGTAAGTCCCTGATATTCAGCCTTATCTTTGATTGGTCCGGATTTGAACAAAGCGCGCATTGACTCGTTCGCGTTCATTGGCTAGATCGTTCAATGAGTCATTGAGTGCGGGCTTTAAATTCGATTGGCGGGCGGCGGGGGCAATCGAATGTGGTCAGAGGTAACTTGACACGATGAAGATAGGCTATAGTGAAGAGGTTAGTGTCAAGTTATCTCTGAAGCTCAGGGTGTGTATTGTGTGTTCTATGCAAAATCTATGTTATATAATTGCACAATTTAGTACAAATCTATAGGTCATGTAGTGCACAAAATTGTACAAAAACAAAATTTTGTGTCCAAAACTTAAGTAAGTCTTAAGTCTTTTTTTTACACTAGACCCTGTCTATTCCATACCTCTACTAGCACTGATGTAAAGAAGCATCATCTCTGCAGCTGCACGGTCAGCAAGGCGTGACTGTTCAAACAAAAGCTGCTGTTTTTCCATCTCTTGCTCCTATGATAAAAAACAAAATAAAAATTATAACAAAATTAAATAATCAGAAATATCCAAAAAGCCAATATGTAACCTTAATGTTTACAAAATTATGTGTCATTATGTGTCAGCATTTGAAAGAAGCAGGGATACAAATACTACCCAATAACACATATTCTGCACATTTTTCAACATCCATCCCCATTTTTAATGCATTTTATTGTGGTTTTATAAAACATATTTGAGCAACAGATTTATGCAATTTGAGCTCTTGAGCTCTGTTGTCTTGGCAACTGAGGATAAGAGTTTCCAGTCTTAAAAATCAAGGAAAGGGCATCAAATCTGACACAGAAATGTCTGCAGTCTTTAAAAAACTTATCAGTTACCTGGAAAGAGGCTCCTGGGTCTTCTTCATTCTCATCATCATCATCTTCATCTTCACCGCTGCAACTCTGGAACAGACAGAAGTTCAACTTAGGATTGTCAGCTCTACACATAAACATGTATTTCTATTATATTATTGTATCGTGTGTTCTATGCATTAAGTGCAACATTTATTCTATGCAATTTATGAGTTATTAGTACTGTTGTAAAGAAGATGCGATATGTATTTCATCATCATATTACTGTATCATATTTATTTTATGCAATTTATTACTTTAAACTAATTTTCATTTCAGATTGTTATTACTTTGTTAATAGAAATGTTTTATAACAGATTTACATATCTTGAGAACTTTATTATTGACAACCATGTACATATTATCACACAAAATACAGTTGACATACAGTGGTAATAATTAGTCACAGAAAATGCAGCAAGCTTGAACCTAATACAATATTGCATCTTAAAAAAAGGAAAAAGATTCAGTTTCTTTGATCAACATTTAAACTTTACTTTGCTCAATAATTTGTAATTTCACCTTGCTCATGATTTGTGCAAAGGACATGTAGAGGAAGTTTTCCTGAAGTGTATCCTGCTCCGTGGTGGCAGTACGACTCAAGGCAGTCACCAACTGTGTTAAGGCATCTGGTTTTTCTTCTTCCTCTTCTTCCTTTTTCTCTATATCTTCTTCTTCTGAATGCTAGAACATCAAGGCAAAGTAAAGTAAGCTAGCTCTTGCAAGAATTCAGATTGAAACTTTAAAAAATATTGAAAAATTAAATTAAATTCCACTTAGCATACAACCAAAGGTCTGGAAAAAAGGTGGAAAAAAATATCACATAAGTGTATACTAAATTTACAAGTTCTATTTTAGCACAGTGTAGTGCAGAAAGTAAAATGGCGTTGGAAAACATTTTTTCTCACTACAAGGATGGTGTGTGTGTGTGTGTGTGTGTGCATGTGTGTGTGTGTGTGCACGCATGTTTCTTACTCCTGTATAGTTTATATGAATATATCCTAACCACTTACTGTGAGGTCCTCTATAAGCCTGACTTGACCAATATCTTCCATTATCAGCCACTGTTCTTTGTATGCCTTCATGAACAGGTTGATCACACGATGTCTGAAGGAATGAATTTATACATAATATTTGACATTTGAGGTACAAGTTTGTTGGAATATTTCAACGTCTATGCAATATCGAATGAGGCTTCACAGAATGAATCAATAAACCAAGTCTCAATAAAATTTAGTGTAGTTCAACCATGTTATGTTTAATCAATCTATTTACATCATTTTTACCACTATCATTTTGTTAAAAAAATCTAAGCCTGTTCTGCAATCTTGTTATTCATTCTACACTAACAAAACTTCATGATAATTTCTAGAAGTTTACCTTGGCAGGTTATGAAGTGGCACCATTCTGAAGCAGGCCATGACTGCTCTCTTCCTCTGGGTTGAGATGACCTTCCGCCAGGCACCCTTATGGGACGGGGGCGGGTGTTCAACCTGAGGAAATTACAAGAGACATAGTGGGGTGAAACTGGGTCATCTTTATAACTGTGTTTAATAAAGTCAAGCTTCATATTTCCTTCACTGAATGAGAACAATAACACATAAGAGTCAAAAATCTTTAAGAAAATGGCATAAATGGCATAGGTACAAATGTTAAAAGAACAAAGGTGAAGATAACAAAATAAATCAAAGCATTTATACTGACCACAATTAAGCCCACAAAAATTATCAGTTTTAGAAAATTGTTAATAATGAAAAGGCATAAATAAACATGTATAATTATTGTTACCAGGTGCAAGCCATGGAGAACTCTTGCCATTGACATCACCCTCTCCACAGCATGGTCCAGTGTCATCTCCACCACTCCTGCAAACTTGGTGCGGCCAATCTTCTTGTATAGAACTTTCTGCCATTTGTTGTCATTCTCTTCATTCTGAATTTAAATCAATAAGGATATTGAAATCAGTTTGCAAAAGATACACAAAATGTAAACAAAAATGAAGTCTTAGTTTTAAATTTTAAACAAATATCTGGTTATTGTTCTCCAGAATTTTGTATTTTATTCTAGTAGAATGCAATGGTATTTCATTCAGATGCTCTACATTTCTTTTAATCCAAAGGAAAAAAAACTTATCTTTACCTCATCCTCAAGCATCAGACTGGACTTGAGAAATTCCTCAATGTCTCCCTCCGGTTCCTTCTAAGACATCAAAAATTTAGCAAAAAGGAAAAAAAGAGAGAGAAAGGCATCAGTGAACGCCATGCACATGCAGATGGGTCAGCAACCACCACCATCACAGCAGTCAGGTCAAATCTACTCCAATCTAATCAAATGTTCATCAAATTTTCAATTTTAGGGAACACCCCAAAACCATTGCAGAAAACAGTTGTATATATAAGCACTGTGTCATGATCCACAGTTTGAGAACTAAATGGTTATTAATAAATGAATATCATATAGACATTGCCTATAAAAGATGCACAATTTGCATCCTGTTAAAAATTTGACATATACATATGATATCACAAAAAATTCCAGCCTAAAGGCTATGACCAATAGCTGCTTCACTATCATGAATGCTATATGGTATATACAGGTATAATGTACATACCCATTGTTATACTATCAAAGCATGGCTGTAGCATACTTGCCCGGCATTAGTCTTGCTAAATAGCTGACTTGATTCATTAACAATATCATACCTATATACTGCACATTTACATATCCCTTTATTCATGCTAACTACATATTTCCTTTTCTTTTCATCAATAATAAACTAATGATTATTAAGTGCCTATTGTGTTTCATTGCAACATAAATTGTACATGACTTTAATTAATACTCAGACAATGTACAATTTTGCCAAGTTTGATCAAACAACTGCTTTAAAAAGCTAAAAAAAAAGTCTATTACAAATAAAACTTAAATTTTCCATTAAGTTATGTTGACTTAACAACATTTATTTCTAAAGTAAAATATAATCTAAAAATACAATCCAGTTTTTATTCAACTGAAACTTCTAATAAAAAAGCATACAGAAACTGATGAAATGCTGCAAAATCATCTCAGCATTGACTACTATAAAATGTCTACCAATATGTTCACAATGCATTTGGCATAAACCAATGATGCAAAATACTCTTTACGTTGAATTCTTGCAAAAAATCTACCAACAAAATCTCAACAAAGAAAGCAAACAAACAGACACAAAACTCTCCATCAAAAGGCTGAGCTAGTATCTAATGCTTAAAATCCTACAAGCAAGACAAAAAACGAGGAAAATATCTACACGTACATACATTCATTGAAACCGAAAAGATGCCATATTGTTACATACCAGATTGGGGGAGGGGAGTCATAATACCACGTTATCACACCAACAAGTCAGTCAGTTGAAAACAAGGAGTCAAAGGATTTTGAAACATGTCACAGGGCACACAAGCCAAAAAATAGAATAAAATAACAGATCAGAATAGCATTTAAAAATTTCAACGAATTCAACAAGAGGTGTAGGTCCATTGTTTTGTGTCACTCTCTGGACATGAAGAATTTACTTTTCATTCAGTGCCAAAACACAATAAAATCAAAATGTGATTCATCATTGAAGTTCAAAACATTGGAATTTTGGGAAACGAGCAGTTGAGAAGTTGTGTGGTAAGTCAGTGGAAACGGGCATTATGCACGACTTAGTGATCTCTGTCTTTTTGCCATATTTTCAAAGTATACTGCTGTGGCAGCAGAGATCACTGTAATGATAGGACTGACTTCACACTTACTTTAGCTGTATGCAGCAATAACATTATAAATGTCAAGTTTGATTATTTTTTTAGATATTTATTTTCTTGAAATAATTTTAACTGAAGCTTTAGCTAGAGTATGATTAGATGAAATGACCTAGTTTCAAAATGCACATAGAATGTTCAGACAAAATATCTTAATTTAACCAGAATATATTAGGCATGAGCAAAAAAGGTATAAAGTTTGTATGGATTGTATCATTCACCCTTAAATTTGTCTTTTGATTTCAAAGAAAACAATTTTTAAATAAAAATCGACATCTTTCATGTTATTGCTACTGTCATGCCACCTATAGTCAAGTGTGAAGTACAGATGAGGGTGGAGTGGGGGGACCCCTACACGTGCCTTGTCTGGTGAACTTTCCACATCCACGGACCACTGGAAGGCAAAATAAAGTTCTGATGTTCAGTCAAATACCCAGATTGAAAAAGAAGAAAATAACACACCATCTCAGCGAAATGACATGTATACTGAATGAACCGTCTTTCTATCAGGGAGTTAAGTGTCCTCGTCAAATTTCTTTTTCAAATATCTGTCTTCATCATTTGGTGCTCTCATGTGTATAACTTGACCAACTAAACTTCCCTTTCATTTTTTCTTGTTTTAGAATAATCTTTATAAAAAAAACAAAAGAGAAGTTTGACTTCAAGGAGCAATACTTAGGACGGCATTTCTTCACTGATTATATGCTTCATACCTGTAATTTGTACAGTCATATAATGTTCTCAACAAAAATAAAAAATTGAAAAGGTGTGCAATTTTCAAGAAAAAAAGCCTAGACTGCAATAAGCCATTCCTCATAGAGCAAAGGCATCAATTCACAGCTAACCAAAGTTTGCAACTGAACATATAACATCTAAGTAGGATAAATGCCTATTAAAGACCATGCACAAATTTGTTTCTTAATATTTCTATTTGGTGCACTGTCATAAATATGTATAAAAAGGCCGTTTCTTATTAACAACATTTGAAATTAATATAAATTTTCATGAAAATTGTCATTTCAGATATATTTTTGACTGAAAATCATAATTTAATAAAAAATTGGTTTGGCTCTTTTTTTCTTTTGTTTTATTTGCCATTTCCTCATTAAATAAATGGGCTCTCCATTGTAATACAAGGCCTACTGTACTGTACTGTTCTTAAGTCATTAATATAACATATGTTTAATAAAAATGTGAAAAACATGGGATTTTCTTATGTAACATTTCCAAAGAGGGAGAAAAATGTTTTATCCAGCAGAGGTATTATAAAAACATGATCACAACTTTAGTTGGATAACCACATTAATTAAATTACAGCAACACATTTTAGTAAACAGATAAATAGACAATATAGTAAATAGACCATATATGTGTTTGTTATCAATAAAAGGATAAGGCTGAGGTAAAAGTGTTAGAAGAAAATAGAAATTAATGATGTTTAAAATATAAACATGAATATTGAATTTAGTTACAACAAATTAGTTTTAAAAGGACTTTTCACTGAAAAATATATCAAGGAAAACATGTTAATGAATTGTTTTTGAACTGACATTGTAAATCAGTTTGAGGAAGAGCAAGCAAAATTAGCTGAAAAAAAACATACCAGAGTCTCAGAGCTATTCGCCATTTTTCCAAAGAATAATAGCATAGACTGTACAAAAACACCACAATGACATACTTTTTTTCTTTTCTTTCATACACATATATTTATATTTTTGTCATATTCATTGCATATCCTATCATTGTGTGAGCAATAAATCCACAATAACACCACATATAAACACACACTTAGTATTTTACCTGTATCAGCTTATCCTTTGCTTGTTGAACCAGCTCTTGCTCCCTGCCTCCAAACAGGTTCAACCCTATAGGTAGAAGCCTCTTCAAACAGGCCACATTCAAGCTGGTGTAGCTGTCCATCTTTGGCTTGTGCTTCTTCCTGCCAGACTTGGGAACTGTGCTCTCTTGGTCCTGACTCTGGTTGCCACTGTCTGCTCGCACCACCTGGAGGGATTTTCCTTGCTGACTGGGCATGATTAATGCCATGTTGTCGATCTCGTTCTGGGTGACAAAGTTGTGCTCTTCTCTCTTGAAAAACTGTTCATTAAAAAAAGTATTATGTAAAACATCCATTAAAATTCTTTCTTAAGTTTTAATTAAAATTAATGAAATTTCAGAAAGAACAAAATACTTTCAGACTTCAGTAAATTTCAGTCTAGTAGTACAGTAAAACATACTAATAAGTTTACATTAAAATATATTAGCCAGCAATAAAAAAAAGTTTCTCGTGCATTAGTTTTACTTACAGGTGACTTGGTCCAGTAGGTGAAGATTTCAGCAATACATGTGTACAGCTTCTCTGCACCCACTGTGGGGTTTCTAAGCCAGTGAGACCTGTGCTGGTCCACATACTTGATCAACAGAGGGAAGAAGGCATAGATATCTCGTACCAGGATGTGCATTGCCTGAAATTATAAGAAAAATGTATATTGGTGATAAAATGTAAATAGTCACTAAAAACATCATTGTCATCAGCGTTATGATTATTATTGTTATTATTATGGTGTGTAAACTGTAGACAATATTAATATCATCGTAAATTTTGTATGTAAAGGCCTAAAAAGCACGGGGGCTTGTATTTAGAGGCTTTTATACTCACAACTTCTGCTTTTTAATCTTATCATGATCATTGTTTATATTTGGCATTTAAAGGTTGAAATGATTTAAGTGAACTTGTGTGCTTTGGTCAAGACAACAATAAAATGGTCTACTATTCATTATTCATTGCATTATATTCTGAATATAAAAGTAATAAATCTTTTAAAATTTAAAATTTCCTGTGAATACATACATCATGTAGCTGTTCCTCAATCTCAGAGTCTATGTCCTGCTGGTTCCTCTTGATGGCATTGTACTGTTCCTCCAGGAGCTCCACCTTGTGGCGGTTATCTGTGATTTTCTCTGCCAGGGGGAGCATGTGCTCCTCCAGCATCTCCAGGGTGGAGTTAGCAATAATTGGTTGGGTACGTGCTGCAAAAAATGCAATAAACAATGGGCCTTTATGTGAATGCATTAAAAGTTTTAAATGTCTGATGGGGTGAAAATAAGAAAACAATATCTTTGTTAATTGGCGCACTAACTGGTACGTTCAAAAGGTCAAAATTCTTTCAGTTTTAAAATTTACGTCTCATTCCTCAAGAAAATTCATACATGATACCTAATAACATGATTTTTTTTCTATTTACCACAAACATTACCTGAGTCTCATGTATATCTGTAAACTCACTTTCAATATCAGCATGCATGCATACCTCTGACATTTCCAATAACCAGTGACAAAATGCAAAGTACCTTGGGTTACTGGTTACTGCAAAAGGCATGCTGACAGTGGAAGTTTACAAAATTCTCTGAAACTCAGACTGATACAACCTAACACCAAGTCAGTTTTCTTACTTGCAATCCTGTTCATCCAGGGGGCGTTAGGTGTCCCCACATTGTTCTTAATCAGCTTCAGCACATTTCCCAGTACCGCATTCATCAGCTGTGCCGTTACCGTGGTAACATGGTTGCTGGAAGAGGTGTCAAACTGCAAACTGTTTCTTCTGTCAGAGCCATAGTCCTGACTATAATGTTATGACAATTAAAGTAAGCTGTTTCTTGTTTTGAAGTGCTATATTATCTTTATTTTTCATGCTACAAAAAGTTTCTAGCACCTGCATTTTTGCCACAGAAACTACAGCACAATTAGTTTCCTATCTGTTAATAATTAAAACCATCTTATCTTTAGAGGGATGTATAAAAATATAATCTATTTCTCTGACTGAGTTTAACTCTTAACTGACAATAATGAGTTCTAAGAAATTGCCAATGTCAAATATGATTTTAAATATTTAAAGCAGCAAATCACTGTCAAAAAAAAATAGTTTTGGTCAGAATTATATTCATCTCTACTTCTACCTCTACCAAGGTACAACATGTGTATTTACCCTTCAGTCAAGTTGACATTATCTGGCCCCTGGGACCACCAGAAAGGCAAGTAGCTGAGAGAGAAATAGGATGAGAAATTTAGAAACTGAGAATAGAATGAAGAAACGTGATAATCAGTAATTTTTACGGCATAAGTACGTAGTGATGTGCCCTATTAATGTGAAGAAAAACATTTGTTTGTCAATCAGAATGTTTAATATTCAGTGATCAAATTAATTTACAACACGAGTAGACAGGAGACACAAACACATGTATTTACCATATACCCACAGGTAAGAATCTGGATTATTTTTAAATATTCAGTTATAAAATTGTGCTTTAAAGCACCTTTACTGCACAGATGGACACTTGTCATGATGTGCAAAGAGCTTATATATTAATGGAGAGGTGTTTGGTTTCTTAAAAGAAACAAATAGGAACAAACATGAAGAGTTGGCTAGCCTGGGCCCTGTATCTCAAAAGCATCATGTATTGCAAATAGGGATATCACATAGAGGCTACAATGTATTACATGTATATGGGGCGAGTATGAGTTATGGAATCGAGACGCTTGCGCACAGTCGCAATGTGCAATGCTTTCGAGATATGGGGCCCTGGTTATCTGGGGTGCATCATAGTGATCATTTGTGGTTTATGTGAAGTTTAAGTAAAAGAGTACCTGCACAGCATGGGCAGAGTGACCTCAATGACGTGAGGAGCCTCTTGATATTTGCCGCCGGACTCTGCCAGTTCTTCTATCTCAGCAACAATCTTGTCCAGAGTCGGAAGGTTGTCTGCTAGCTGCTTCATGACATCTGAGGGAGGAAAAAGAAGGCACACTTTATTTGTAAAACTCTACTGTACATTCCATTTCATTTGATGTTTATTACACATTGCCTTCATTGCAATAAAGAGCAAAAACAATGTTTATTACAGCTAACACAATAAAGAATACTAGTCAGTCAAAATATTATGGTACATGCAATTAATTTTTTCATACATGTATGTAGTGAAAAATGTGCTTGCTTGAGTAATTTTGTGCACCTTTTATCCTTTTAAATAAAAAAATGAATCTTTCTAGAAAGTCTCCTGCTGTTACCTTGTGCCTCCAGGGAGTGTTCTGCTATCCTCTCCTCCGTGATTCCATACAACATGGAGTGTTTATTGTACCTGTTCAGCTGGGGTTCCAGGAACGCCACTGGGAATGTGCTGGCAAAGGAGGCGATACACTCACCCAGGAGAGGACGATGCCTAGTGGCAGATATAGCAAGAGGTTTATTATTTCTCTACCATTTATCAATTACAGATTTCATCACAGAGAGAGACAGAGAGAGAGAGAGAGAGGATTGTTTATAAAGATTATTAGATGTCAGCATCAATCCAGAAAGTTTTTTTTTTCAAAGCTGCACACAAAATTACAATGTGTTCAGAAAGGTGCTAAAAACTTCCCAGTTAAAACTTTTAAAGCTCAAGAAAGTAGACTTTGATTGCAACTTCAAAAAATACACTTCACAAAGTATTTTCTTTTAAATTCTGTAGAGTGCAATGCAATTATATGTATTTCATCTATTTATCACCACTATTTCTACTAGATATTATATTCTTTCAGCTCCAGCAGAGGAAATTTTAGCCAAATGCTAACCATCTATCAAAAGTAGAAAATAAAAAGTTGATTTCCTTTGACTACAAAATAAAAGAGAAATCTATGGAAGTGTGTTTAAATGATAACTCACTTCATAAGAAGGAAACACAGCCATGATGTCAAAAAATTTGAATGTTTTAGCTCTGGTGTTTTTAAAAGGGAAACAATAAAAATAATTCACTCCCCAAAAAACAAGTTGTCCTTTATCCAATATATGTATTGCAATAATTTAAGAACGGCAAAAACAAATTATCTTAATGTTTAGATTCTTCAATTAAGACAAAATAAATTGTAATTATAATTGTAATTGCAATGCCATATAAAACTGGACAAATAATGCACAAACACAACCAAGATTTTTCAATCAGTCACAAATACAAAGGTGTATGGTGCTGTATGCCTTGCATTTCTTTTGAACAACATTACTGTGAATGCTGTGGTAAAAGCAGAGGGTAGGGGGATGTGGACAAAGCAGGTGATAGAGTACTATTCTATATTACTGATACAAACAAAACTGTTATAGAACTTCCAAATTCTTTTAACAGCAAATTTGAAAACAATAGATCCATTTGTAAACAAATTAAGGAAGATTCAAATGACACAGTTAACATTTCATTGTTTGTCACCACTTTCTTAAAAAACTGGTCACAAAAAAATCACCACAACTTATTAACTAGTTATAAAACTACTGACCAAAACAAAAATTCATTATTGTTTGGAAGTCTTCATTTTCATGATAAAAAAGGTTACAAAAAAATTCTCACAAATATCCAAAAGGTAGTGATGACAATTGCCAAAAACTTGGCCATGCAGCCCGTCTGATGAACATTTCAGACATGCAAAATCTTCTGGATAAACTGCAACAATTTGTTCCTGTGTTCACTGCAGAAGAACAAACCTACAGCATACAAAATGATGCTCAAATCTGTTTTTTTTAAATGATTATTATTAATGCAGGCAAATATTTTCAACTTTCCTATGCATAACACATGCCACTGATACCTGTTCATTTCTTCCAGCAAATAGATCCTGTAGGAACATTTCATATTATTTGATAAATTCAAAATTTCATTTGAATTAAACATATTTTCAGTCTAAATCAATTGAAATAATAATCCAAAAATAAAGACACGCCTTCTACTTCTTAGCCAATAAAACATATAGCAAAAATCTCAATACATAATGAAAAGAAAAATTCTTGATAAAAAATATTCATTAACTGAAATAGAAAGAATGCCATGAATATAAACAGACAACACCAATGATCAATTTTTGTATAAATTATATAAAAGAATTCTTCTTACCTTTCCACACATGCTGCTGTACTGGTGCCTAGGGTGTACAAGGCATTGAGGATTTTATAACTGGCAAGCTGCATCTCTCCAACTTCAACAATAAAGGAAAATCATAATCATTAATCTTTTGGATATGATGCTTTTTCATTTCTTAAACATGCGATAGGCATGTATTCTAAGTTGACTTTTCATGCACATACTTCTTTATTAGATAAATGAACATTTGTTTGTATTTTATTTTATATCCTACATATTACGACACAATATCCATGAATCAATGTGATCTATGCCAAGGTGTTTGGGAGAGCCTAAAATGGCCAGAGAGGGCTCAAACTTCAATCAAATCCTTGCCAAAAGATCACCACTGTTGAGATAATTTATCATATCAGAAATATCAGTGTATTTCAGGGGAACTCACCCAGCAAGTCTGCTCCATAATTATTAGAACCAAGATGATCAAACATAGAGGACAGCACTGGCAGCAGCACCATGTGGACATAGTTGAGACTGGTGGCGCCCCTGGAGATGGTTCCTTTCACATGGCTAAATCGCCCACTCTTTATATTGTGGACCACTTGGTACAGGTCGTCTGCTGCATTGTTGAAAAATGGCAGGAGGGAGGAGCGGACTATCTCTGGGCTGTTCTTCACCACAGATCTAGGTTATGTTATAGTTTAGAAAAATGTTTACATTCAATAATAAACACCAGTCTTTAAAATTTTGGCATCAAAAGTTAATTTTGATGAGGGTATAAGAAGACACTCATCTCAAATGCCTCCAAAATATGTGTTGCAAATTAATTTAAGATGTAAGTCTATAATCTAACCCATAAAGTAAATTTGCAAGATGTTGTTACATTTTGGTTCAAAGCTCAATATGCAATTTAAGTTCAAACTTTATTCAACATCACAATTTTAAAATAGGCTGGTCAACACTGAATCAATTTTAAATCCACCTTAATCAACTCCTGCACCAAATTGTAACTAAGATACTGTTTTTACCAATTATTGTTCCTGGTAAGTTCCACATTAAAGACTGTCATTTGTGTAGAATGAAACTACCTATGCAAACAAGATACAGGACCAAACCTGGCCACTCACCTTGCATCGATAGCATGAACCAAAACCTGCAGACACCTGACTGCTATGTCAACATCATGCCCAAATGCTGTGATCTTCTGTCTCAGAAGGTAGGCAAGCTTGCAAAACAGACTATGGAAGGGAAAAAAGTAACCAAACACAATTATCAGGATACTTCCTTCAAATATATTGTTATTAATAAAAATGTGGACAAACTGAAAAAAATACTAAATTTGCCTATTTTGAGCCCCGCAATATAAATCATATCAAGCGGATCATTATTATTACACCTTGGTCATGGTATAGTTTATAGTGCTGTTCACCAACATTTCAGATTACTATTTTGATCCTTGTAGGTATAACAAACTGTTAAGGTAGCATTATTAGCTAAATATCAAGAATAACCTAGGCTGGACAAGATATAAAAATAAAACTAGAAGTACTTCTGTCAGATAAAAAAAGCACAACATACCAATGTTTACAAATGCTGTCTTTTATGAAAAGGAAAATGGAAAAGACCACCAGAGGTCATAGTTCAACCACTCACCTTGCTGTCATTTCTTTCTCCTTGACAGAGGCCATGCCAACACTGGCCTGTGGCATCCCTGGGGCAGCTATGAAGTACACTTTGTGGGCACGGAAATACTTCTCCACCAATGGGAGGACCACCTGAAGGAATTTCAAAAATAAATTTTGGCCCACATGGTTTTGATTCATTGTGCCAAATATGTCTTGCCCTGGCAAAATCCTAAAATACAATTCTTCTCTGGGTAGAGTTACTCTTTGGATGACTAATAAAATTGACACATAAAAACATTTCAATATTTTCAATGATCCATATTTTGATCAATATAACAAATAATTAATCATTAATTAGGCTGATTTTTTTTCTCAGCTAACATTGTTGGCCATGTGCATGACAGCTGTATGTTTTATCTTGGCTTCAAAAGTGCTCTTTAAAAGAAAAAGACAAGCTCAAACTTGGAAACAATATATCAAAGCTTTCTCAAGAGGGTCAATTACCTTTCCAAAGAATTTAACATCTTCAGTTGCCATGGTGTAACTTTCTCTCCTACTATAACGGCTACTTGGTTTCAGAGTATTCAGGTTCACAGCAGCTTTATCCACATATTCCAGTAGCTTCTCAAGCAGGGAGTAAGCAAATCTTTTCTCAGTTGCTGAGACGCCCACCCCGCTGTCTGCCTCCGAGTCCTTACTTTGTCTGGAATTAGACACAGTCCTGGGGCCCGCTACGCTCATTTTCCTATTGTCAGCCATGTCGTTGCTACTGAGTACCAAGTTTGTACCCGATGGGTAAAAGGGGAGAAGGAAAGTGATTGGGGACAGGAAAGGAAAGAGAGAGGAAGAAAGAAAGAAAAAAGTGTGTTAGCCATTGAAACCTACTGCCCAACGACAAAAATCAATTGTAAGGAGAACATAAGAAAACCTTTGTACACCTAGCCTATATAAATTAACAAAAATTTTCAAGATATGGGCCTTTTTATGTTATTTCTAAAATGGGATAAAAAAAAATAATAAGCATCTTTCATTTTCTGTGGCACTTATATCTAAAGATAGTTAAGTCATATGCATTTCTAAAATCTGTAACAAATCAAAACAGGAATGCTAGATTATTAACATTATTCAAGTTTACTGAAATCATGGATGAGCTTTTATTTTCTAGTTCTGGGCATGCTGATTCAATTTTTTGTTAGCTTTGAATAAAACTACATTATGTTAAAACAAGCACAAGATGCAGACCAAATGCACTGTTTTAAATCAGTCAATCCATGCAAAGTTAACCAAAATCCATACCAACTTTATACAGTAAAAGTCATTTGATTTTTCTTACAGTTAAAAATATGTTCACAAAAACATATTAGCGCTCATCAAACATTTTCAAAATGGATTCATTTCATTCCAAATCTTTCAAAGCACATGAATGCAGGCAGTATCATAAACAATAATTTTAGGTGTCCACCCTAAATCTAACTATTATCATTTCACAACTCCAGCCCAAGGTATCATAGGCAAACATGAATTTGAAAGCACACCAACCCTTTACTTCCTTCACTTCAAGACAGCAGGAAGCAAGGAAGATGAAGAGAAAGATGAGAAAGAAGAAATCGGGTCACACTCAAAAATAATGGTACAGGTAGCACAAAGCTGTGACAATAGCCCTCGAGGTGGTTTCAAAAAGGACTAATAAACAAAAATGTATCTTTTAAAAGCCTTAACTTTTCAGTCTTATTTCACTCAATAGAAATAAAAAGTCAATGAAATATTATGCCTGTTTTCCATATACAAAAAGTCCCATGCTTTAAACTGATGGTTATCTTATTTCTGTGTACTACTATAACTTGAGTCTGAATCAAAAAGACCAAATGTTTCAGACTTAAAAGTATACACATACATACATACATATTCCAAATTGTTCCCCTAATGTGAGATGCATATTAAGTTTTACTCAATATGCATTTATAAATTCCACACTGAAACCTATTTAGACACTAATATAAATGAATAAGCACACACACATAAACTCACCAACACCATGCAAAATGGTAAAATATATGTTTAGTGTAGATATGTAAGTGGAAAATTCTCATACATACAACTGCAGAAAAAAGAGTTTTTAGTGAGTTAGTTCTGCATGTTTGTAATGCTTCCGAAATTGAGCATTAATTAACTTCAGAAAATGTTGTTTATAAAAAGGTTCAATTGTGTATATCCCATCTGATCATCTTATTAATGGTAGATTGCTTAAATCCCTTTCAATAACTTAATGTTTATTTTATCAACTGCACCATCTTTGGGCTAATATAAGCTAGATAAAATATGTCCTCTGTTCAAAATGACAAAATCAAAGACTACATTACATTAAGCAAATTTTGAAGTATATCCTTAAAATAACCATGTAATTTGGTAAAATTTGGCCAAAATTTGGTAACTATTCACATAATACCATTACTCTCTCGCTCAAGATGCTAGAAACCATGCATGTCGCCAATATAAATGAACAATGATGCCATATACAATAAGTTAATCAAATGCCCATAAATTTAAACATGATCACAATTATGACATCAGGCAATAAGATGTTAAAATGCCCATGTTTTAAATTAAATGCCCTTCATTAAAAATTTATTTGAAAATTCCATGTTTAGAGCACTCCAATTCAAGTTATGATAACACACACGCACGCACATGCACACACACACATGCAGGTGTTCCTAACCTCTGCAGTCTATAGCCCTGCATCTGTAGAAACTTGAGCAGCTCCTGGGCTCTCTCTCTGTGGGGCCTCTTCTCTTTGTCTGTCAGGATGTCAAAGGGAACAACTTGCTGGTGAATACCGCCACCTGGAGGGAAATATGGTTCATAACTGATGAAATTGTAATATTATTTAATTAATCATGAGAGAATTAATAGGTATTTGATCAGCAAAGGTATGTAATCAAAATGTAAAATGATAATGTACTGAATATATATCCTGAATTTTAGAGTAAATATACAAGAAAGTTAAGAATTCAATTTTAAATGATCCAATGTTAATAAAATCTCAAGTTGTTTTAAATATGACATCTTTTAAGAAGCTTCAAAACATGCTTGAGTTATAAAGAGAGTTTGACTTTCCAAATGAGTGCACTTTTTGATAAGCCAGAATGTATAAACTTTTAATAACAAGTAAAAATGGCTCCACACCAATAGCATCTAATTCATCTTTCTTCTTTCTTGCCCAGACATCATGTGAGTTGGATGCCAGCCTCTCCGCCATATTTTGCATCTCTCTGGTCAAGGTCAGATTACGTAGGTCAACAGGACGAGGGTTGTAATTCTGGGAGTCCTACAACAAAATATCAGATGCGTGTAAGAAATATAAAAGATTTAGTAGTTTTTTCCTATCGTAAAATACCACTCACATATTTATAATCTGTATCAAATAAAACCATGGCAATACCGTCTTTTATAAGGTTATTCAATTTCCAAGGCATTCATTAAAATCCGGCCTTTAAACTAAACTAAATAAACTCAGGTCTTTACTAAATATATCTAATCTAATATTCACACTGATGTACATCTTTCACCTTTAATGTTAAATAAACATAATTTAGTTGCCTACTGACCACAGAGACCCGGGATCCTCTCCTCTTGAGGCTGCCACCAGAAGTCAGGCGGTTCTGATCTACATCCAACGTCCAGCCCCATGCCAACATGGCGCGCATGCTCTCACGCACTGGCTCCAGACATCTGACAGAATCCTAAGATTTGAGAAAGACTTACTTAATAAATACTGTCAACTAGAAATATTGAAGATTCATGTTGAATTTCAAAAGCAAGTTTATAAAATACAAAGAAATCCAGCTGAAAGCATATTAATTGAATGATGTATAGGAGTCAAAATTGGAAATATTTCAGTCTAGAAGGAATTTATCAGCAAAGTAAAACTGGCATCTAAAGAGCATGTGGTAAAGGGGAAACTTTGCAGACTAAAATACCTCAACTTGAAACACTGAATGTTGAGCAGGTAGAATTTAAAGATGACAAAAATAAGCACAACAGATTAGGGGAAATAGAACATTATTTTCACATTGTTCTAAAAATACAAATGCTTTTTAAATTTTGCAAATAAGAGGGGAGAGAGAGAATTAGTTATTTGATTTTAAGACCAATGATTTCATATAAATGTCTCAGTGTAAAGGAGCTAGTATACATATTCATTTCTACTACAGTAGATGGAGAAAACAAAAGAACCAGTCAATGAGCTCACCACTAAGGTGCATGTAACATATCCACTTGTCCTTCTCAAACAGCTACCAGTATAAATATATCACATGCACCTCACTAACTCTTATTGCACCTATTCTATCTTATAACCATGTACAGTATTACCTTGTTGTTCAACATAGAGAATGGTTTGAGATTTGGATGTATTTTGTTATCCTCATCATAGGCTGGCCCATACACCCAACTTTGATCAAACTGCACAGCCAGGCAGGCAGGGAGGAAGGAAGGAAGAGAAGACCACAGAGTTTAAGTTCAAAGTAGACAAAAACTTGAAGCAAAAAGCAAGAGGTACAGGAGTAACTAAGTATTTCTGATGGAATATTTGTCTTCTTGAAAGGTATAAGCTAGGTGACTGAAATATATGAATCAATGATGTGATCTACACTATATATTAAATTATTCAATGAAATAAACATACTGTGTATAAATATCTAAATAAAATGTAAATGTGGTTAATCTTTACAAAATAAAATTGTAAGTTCTCCAGCAAATTCTTCTGGTAATACAGATTATAGTAAAAGCAGGCAATGTAACACACCTTCTTTACGGCCCATGAGTCATGGTAGTGCTCAGCAAACTTCCTGGCCACAGACTCCAGAGGAGATGAAAGTGATATTCTAGAAAAGACAAAACATCAAATAAACCAATCAGCGTACAATGACCTTTATGCTTAGATATGAAGCTTTTTATATACCTGCTTACAATATACAACCTCAACTTATCAACCATTTATCATTACCAATTCTGCCTAAACCCTGATAGCAGATTGAATATAACACTGACTTTTGAATAAATTTTCAAATTGTTCAAACTTCTTTGGGTCTCTCATAGTGAAAGGCAGTTCCTCCAAAACCTTTGGAGCATATATCAAATGCCAAATTCTCACAGTCACCTTGTAGTTTCTACTGGTTGGGGGTTGTACATCCCATCTGTATCCAATGATGCATCCTTAAGCCACGGCTCATCTTGATTGGACAGGGAGTAGTCAGGTGACAGGGCACAGCCAATGGCTGACAGGCATGGAAGAGCTTTTGAAAACAATTCTGGATCATATGCCTAAAAGACAGTGATAAGACAATGAGAAAAAGAAAGAAAAAACTTTGATAAGTTTGGAGAAAACTGTTACTTGTTTGATTAGATTGGCATAATTCAATTTTTTTGCAGTCCCTTGATTTTCTAAATTTCTAGTTATTTATGTGATGAATTATATGCTAGCTTATGTATAAATACTTTTTATTTTCAACATAAAGATACTTGATTCTCAAGTGCAACTTATATTTTACTTAATTTTATATATTTTATTTATAGATACAATACATTATTTTCCTTTTTTCCTTTTACTCATTATCTGTATGATACAGAGAGATATCATTTGTGCTTTATCACTTCTATTAACAGGTAAAATATAAGTGATAAAACCATTACTACTACCATTACGTCATCTTACCCGCTGTGCCAATGAATCAAAGATCAAAGTAAACAGCATCATGGTGAGTTTCTTTTCCTCCTCTGTTGCTGCACCCCAGCTGCCCCAGCCGCCAGTGCCATAGTAACGACCACAGCGCTCATAGTGGTGGGTCAAAACCTTATGATCAGAAAATTACAAATGAGTATTAATAATAGTACCCATATGATTTTAGGAAAATATGTCCATTCAAAACTGAAAATATTACCAACATAATAACTGCAAATATTTTGCTTGATTTTTATCATTTCAAAGATCTTGAATTCCTACTAATAATTATGTGTCTGAAACATAAAATACTGTTCAGTCTACATACCCTCAGTGGTACCACTGTGTTTTCATTTAATCCTGGCAAGTCAATAGTCAGCTTTCTCAAAAGTTTGGTCATCATGGGTGGTCTCAAGTGACTGGAATTTTAAATTATGTATATGCTTATAAAGCCAATTATATCTCTGAGCTGCATGCCTAAGAAGCAATCATTTTATATAATTTTTCCTTGTCGCTCAGTGCATGTAAACAGGAGAACATGGAGCAGTGTATTTAAAAATCAAGAGCAACATTCAAGTTCTATCTTCACTACTTTCACCTTATATGTAAGATTTAAAGAAATCACACATGCACAAACTCCACCACTAATTTACCCAGTCAAAGACACCAAGAACTCTGTGACAAGGTCTTTCTGGTTCTTGGTGAGAGATCGACACTTGGACAGCCTGTATGTTGTGTGCAGTGTGGAGTCCAGTAAGGAAGACACGTGGTCAGCATCATCAAAGAAGTGGGCATAGGCAGTCAGCAGTGGTAGGACAGAGTTACATAGATATCTGTTCAACGCCAAAGCCATATCACTGTCAGAAGCAGCAGCCTGGCAAAGAAAAAAGATAAAAAATAAAAAAATAAAAACAATATGACCAAAAAGTCTCTTTGTGTATTTTGATGAAACTGGCACCAGTTTGCTTCATCAAGCAAAACCTTTTGATTCTTGTCTTTCTGTCTAAAAATTTCAAATCCAGAGCACTATAATAAATTTATATTACATTTGACAGGGGAAATGTGTTTTGCATTTACATGGCAATAAATATTATAGTAGCATCTAACAATACATTATGGATAATAATCTTTGTTTTACAGGTGTTCAATATGCAGGTAGAAATGGCACACTTATCTGCATATTTACAGCACTAGAACTAACTTGCTGCACTTTTGTTCTCACAGTCTCATATTTAAAATCTGATATAAAATTTTAAAAACCATCCATACCGTGTCCAGTGTTGTAGCAGCTCTGAGATCAGGCAAGAAGCCATCCTCCAGGAGTCTGAAGAAGGTGGACTGGTCTGGTATGCCATAGACTCTCTCTAAGAACTGTACCACTGCAGACTTGTGCTGGGGGAGCAACCCTGGGGGAAGACTGCCCTCGCTCTGCTTAGCCTCACCATCTACGAGAGAAATAAGATGAAAAATTGCTATATGCTCCCTCTGCTGCCCAATGTGTTTTGCTAAACTTCCCAAGTATTATGAAAAATAATCCCAACTCAAAGTGCCCACAAACATATATTGTTGCATCACCATTCTATTCTTCTATGTTTATCAGATAGACACACAATAAACACATCCCCATAATATGATGATTTTGAAACATTCTTTAAAATTTGTTTTCAAATAAATCCGACATAATGAATACTAACCATCAGACTGACTTGTAATAGGCAGAATAAACTTCAAGCCCAGAACACCTTCCAGGTCCTCAACTGACACCAAGCTTCTCAAGATGGCGCGTGCTCTCAGTGAATCACTGCGACCAGATTTAATAATCTCTGCATCTGGAGCACAGCGCCCCAGGAGGTCAACCAAGGCGGAGTAGAAATCCAAGATGGCTCCTCCCATGTCTATATAATCCTCGTCATCTTCAGGTGGCAGAGTTGAGAAGTCATATTTACTGAAAAATTTGTAAAAAAGATTTTTACTATAAATAAATATCAATAATTTCTCTAGTTTTGCTTGCTATATTAAATAAACTTTTTTCTTTATCTATATATCAGAGAGTCCAATATCTAATCATAAAAAAATAGTTCCTTCAAAAAGTCTGAAACACTGTTGGTATGCTTAGGCATGACAGAGGCAACTGAGGTTTTAAAAACTGAAGCAACATATTAGATGTATTGGGTGGATAAAAAATGTCCTGACCCAAAAATTTCAACACCTCCAATATTCTATTCACTATCTCTTTTTCAATTAGACCTCCCTGAATTTAACTCCATGTTATGGTTTTGATCCATAAGTTTTATAACTTTATATTTACACCACAGTTCTCAATAAACAAATAATAAAGTGAAAATGCAATTATAATGTCTAGCCATTTGTAAAGTGTCACCTACAGTCTCATAAAAAATATGACCAATCTTTCCTTGATTGTCACTGAACATAGATCTGCAAAAATTCATTGATTTTGAAAAAAATGGAAAACTGAAGATTAAGACATTCTTTATCCACCCATCTCTGGGTATTTCTGAGAGTACATCTAGGTTTAGGAAGTTTCATTTACAGTTTGAATAAGGCTACAATAATGAAGTACAGATGTAAAAAGATATCCTGTTCATTATAAAGATTACGTAATTCTGGGTCTTTATGAACTTCAAATAACAAGCAAAATGTGGTTTTGAAATAGGACAGGTTAGAGATTTGATGATTTTCTTTTTTTCTTTTGGATTTTTAGGCAACAGCCAATAAGGAACTTAGATTTTTAACTACAACCGTTGGCAGACTAAAAGAGTCTTCTAACAATTAAAAAAAACATATATTCATTCAAACCTAGCAAAAAGGATATTAGGGATAAGTAAAAACACCCTTAGCAGTAAAGCCACACCCACTACATAAAGTTTGAATGTGAATTAATAAAGCTGTGATTTTTTAAAACTTTTACTTAGATAGTCTCTTGTGAAGTGTAAATGTATGTTCAGTTAACAAACCAAGACAGTTCAATCAATGTATTTAACAAAAGATTCCTGTTTTCATTAGTTAAACATTTAATAAAAATCTAAAAAAAATACATGAAGAAAATGATGAAATCATAATATATTATGACGTTTTTTCACCATTTTCGTAGATTTAAAATAGAAACAGATGTAAGTGTGATTCCTTCCCCTGTGAGATTAAAATTACACCATTTTAAAAAACATTTTTATAAAGCAAAACTGTTATTTCACACAAACAATATGGATAAATACAGCTGATTAATAGCCCCACTCTCCGTATTAGGGATACAGACTTGTATTTAAAAAAGTCAACAAATTATAAACATTAACCTTCATACCCAACACCAACAAACATTCTATTACAGAGCACTATAGCATCAAAATGCCAACGCTACTGTTCTGGCTTCAGTACACTACTTACACTCCATCATGGGTTAGAAATATATGCCTGTTTTTCTCCTCACTGCAAAGAAATATGTCATGTTTTGTTTTCAGTTACAGTGCACAACACAACATAGCCTATCATTCAACTACTGTACACAGATAATGTCACCAGTTTCAATCCAAGGTGTTATTGACTTTCAGTACACTTCTTCTATAAGAAGAGTTTCTATTTAGTCCATGTGTATGTTAAAGAACTTCAATGCCAAAGGTAAATAGCTGAATTTGATTTTCATACTTACCTGCACGTGACAATCAGAACAATTTTAATCACATTTTGGCAACAATGAATCAAATAGGTAGAAATACCCCAAAACTTTGGAGAAACTGGTACCAATAATCTGTAGAAAACTACAAAACAGTGCATTTAGTTGGGAGGGAACACTGCCTATCAAGCACTACGTAATTTCTAGGAATAATTCTTGTAAATATAAATTCAATCAACATTCAGACATTAACACAACAAATCACAATTTAACAAATATGGGCTTTTAAAGATAAATACACAAAAATGTTCTATAGGCATGACTAAAACAATACAATGCATTACATTTGGGAAATTTAAACAATGAACATAACAGTGCTTTCTTGATACCAATAAATAGGTTGAAATCTCTATTAAAATGATAGTTAATGGATTTAAGAGATAAGAAATAGAACAAAAGAGTAAAAAAAAGGAAAATTATCACCTTCTTGTTCTTAAAATGTTCATACGTATGCTTTTGAGAGGAAAAACAGAAATGTAATTAATTTTTTTCTGTTCTTAATGATCATGGCTTACAAAGAAAGGAACTAATTTTTCTTTAACAGGGAAAAAATGGAAACAATGTTTGAAAATATCTGAAAAAGTTATAAATCATGTTTTAATTAAGTTCAGAAAGACAGGCCTGTCACTTGATTATGGCTTCACCAATTTCCACTGACATATTTCATCATCATACTTTGGTTTATTAAATCATATCCTTTAATGAAATGGATCATGAAAGCACCCAACAATCACAACAATTAACAATGAACTTTATGGACCAATGTACTATTACAAAAACAGCAGACATTTTCCCAATTTTCGCACCACATAAATTAGATTAGAAGCAAACTGTTATGAGACAAAGTCCATTTCTGATCCATCAGGCCATTCAACTACAGTACTGGGAATGGTTTCACAATGGAACTAGAGACCTGAAGTCAATCTTAACTTTAAAGTCAACATTTTCATTCTACTTCTTCAGTGCAAGATACATTTTTAATATTCTGCTAAAATCAGGTAAATACTGGTCTAAAAATATAAACAATTTCTTACTTGTAAATTCAAATAGACTACTACTGATCAATTTACCCTAATAGGAGACAAATTTTATTCTTAAAGCTAAGACCAATTTTTTGTCTTTTTGAGAAACCAGTCCCTGTGCAGCACTTTATAAGCAAATCAGTCACATCTTATCACAGACTTTTTCAAAAAAAAAAATCATCCCCATACCTCTGTCTCAAGAATTCTGTGTCGTTGTCATCATTAATGGCTGCCAGAAAACCTGAAGACATGCTGTCTCTAGAGGCAGCGATCTGTTCCGACATTCTGATTCCATCTTTCATTGCCTTCAGAAGACCTCCGCCTTCACCTCTCAGAGCAGGCCCCAGGCATTCTGGACGTCTGATCAGCAGACGTACGACAAGGTTGGAGTTTTCTTCCACACTTTCACCTGAAATGCAATAACATTAATTTTTCAATATTACATATTTTGATGATGATATCTACTAATGTACTAATATTGAGTAAATTCAATAGAAAATGAGTAACTGCCAACTTCAGTGTCCATGTCTATTTGATGCCACAGTGAAATTTAAGGTAAATCACAAATAGCCATATAAAAATACTAAATCACTAACCAACAACAATATGATTTCCTTACTGCTCACCTATACAAAGATGTGCATGAAATCTGCCCTCTCTACACACAAATAGATATCTATATATTATAGATCAATAAATATAAAATATACCCAACTATACATAAATCCAAACAATTTCCTTACCATTCACCCACACACAGAAGCGCAGGAAGTCCAGAAACCTCTCTCCTTCCACAGGGTCCCAGCCAATGTCTGGGTATCCCTTGGCCAGCAGCTCTGAGTTGGACTGGACGCCGGCTCTGGACAGGTAGACGGCCACCTTCTCCAGGTGGGACTCTCTGAGGGCCAGGGCCAGCTCGTTGTTGTCCATCATAGAGGAGTAAGCCACGTCCAGGGGACAGGAGCCTCGGAGAGATGGATGAGCTGAAAAGTATGATATATAGATATATATGAATACTAAAGGAAATGATTAAGGAATAACTGTTACAATTATTAATTAAGCTGTGTGTGTGCACATGAGTGTGTACAGGACAGCCATATACATCCTTGTTCTTTATTTTTGTTTATTAATCTGAAACTTACATGAACTCTAAACTGAAAGCAATTCTTTCCTTGAATTTTTGAAAACACATGTTGTTATTTATAAAAACAGAGATGATAATACTTTGAAAATGCATAGGTACCTAGCAACATGCTGCTGTTTTCTAGCAGGTAGCTGAGATGATCAAACATGGCCCTCTGGTTCTGGCGACTTGTGCGGCAAAAATAGCAGAGGAAACGGCAACACATCACCACCATGTCTGTGGAGTTATCCTACAGATAAACAACAAAACAAATATGTTAACTGCACTCAGCTTGTAATAGCCCCACTTATAATTAACCCACTGAACATTCACATACACCATAAATATTGCAGTTTGAATAATTATAATAGTATCATATATTTTATTTACCCATTAAAAATATAGATGTAATTAATGCTACAATTACAAAATTTTCTTCAATCAATAACTTTGAATAATTTTATGTGAAAATAAAGTTCTATCTTTCCATTGTTGCAATTGTTGAAGTTGAAATTTATATATGATATAAAAATGTTAAGACAGATAGCTATTTTTAACAGTCATTATTTAATGTAGATCCAATACTGCACTAGCAGCAACAAATAGATCAATCAATAAATAAATGACTTTCTCCTCTCCTACCACTGGTTGCTCCACGTCTCCATCTCTCTTCACCTCCCCGCCACCGGCCGCCTGCTGCTGCTGCTGTTTATTCAGCGTATTCACCATCAGTTGCATCACAGTCTCGTGGACATACAGGGCACGCATCAGGTCTGGGTGCTGGAAGAACACCTTGTTGTCCAGGAGATCCCTGGGGAAGAGATATACGTACCAAATTAAGGAGGTGGACTATTATTATTAATTACTATTATAACATTTCTTCTTCTTCACCACACACACACACACACACACACACACACACACACACACACACACACACACACACACACACACACACACACACACAGTATTAGACAAAGATGGACAGAGACATATTACACAAAAGCAGATATAGAATGAGAAAGAGACAGACAGAAAGAGGACCTACTTGATGCTGCTCTTCAGTGTCTCTTCTTCCTGTGGCGCCACCTGTACATTTAGCAGGGCTCGTATGTTCCCAAGAGCCTTCACCAAGTTGTTGATGTCATGGGTGCTGGCAGCACTTATTACGTATGTTTTCAATATAGCTCTCAGGACCTGAACATTTGAAAATATTTTAATAACTGCCCCATGAAAATTGTTAATGTTTCAAAAACCATGCATATTACCTTATTCAGTCTTTGTTATGACTCTTTGAGACTAAACATTTTTGAAAAAAAAAAAAAAACGTAAATCAACCTATGGAAATTGAAGCTATTCCAAACACTATTTTATCATTTTTTGTATGTCTTGCTCGTGTGAATGTCACACACTTCTGATAAAAAAATTGAAGACATGTTTATTACGAGTACAATATGCACTGTGCATAATCAGCATACAGGTATATTTTCAATGACAAGCATCAATCAGCTTAATGTTTTTATTAAGCTAAAATTAAAACAATTAATTGTTATCAATATCAAAACACAACCATTGAGCTATTACCTTTTATTTTAAATTACAAATGTCAATCTTCAGTGAATGATAACCATACCTCTCCAATGCCATCGTATTGTCTATAGAGCAGGCTAAACATCTCCTGCACCAGGCTCTGGTCAGTTATGAAATCTTCTTCGGCCCATTTTCTCATTGTATTGGAAATCAAATTCTGTAGAGATCCTTTGAATGAAAGAACAATAATGACAGGTGCTATGAATATAAATCACTCACCCTGGATTTCAGAGTTTTACTGGAAACAGCAGAGGCATGCTAATATAGATGGGATCAGTTCCCAGTTCTCTCTTAAATTCAGGGTGAAAATACTTGAAATGAGACAATGTTTGGAATTGCCAATTCTAATATCAATATTACAGAATGGTTTGTAATATATTGTTAAATCAGGTCTTTCAACACAGATCAGTACGTACAACAGATACATATATAGTAGCTACAAAACAAACATTTAATTTTAATATTTACAAATATCACAAAATTAAATTTATACACATTGAAAGCAAGCTGTACTAGTATTAGCATGTATTTCCGGCATTTATTACTTAATTCTCAAAAATAAAATTTACAAATAAGTGATTATTTCCTTGTACACATTACTATTTTCTTCATTTAATTACAAGCACTTATATATACTCTTTGCTATCATAATTAGCATTATTTCTGTATAACCAATGAACTCAAGTGCAGAAACCACTAAACAAACAACAATTCTATAAAGAACAAGAAAGTGCTGCTACTGCATGAGGCAGAATGACAGGGAGTTTTTAATTGGTAGGATTCATTGCTTTGTTTTTCTAGAATTTGATCATGGGAAATATGGAAAATGGTGTCTCTCTGGTAAGGCATTACCTATCAAGACTGCCCTTGTGTGTCCTATTTTTATTCGTTTCCAGTCAGAGGGCAAGGATAAAACCAACAAATACTCTACCTGCTTTCATGTGCAATTATTAGAACTACTGATGTTGTGTGTCAATTTGTAAGGTTTGGGTTTTTTAATCTATAAGTGCAATTTCTCCACTCCATGGGCAATTATTATCCCCCAGTACCCTGATGTGTTTCTTTTAATGTGTTATTGCAATGTGTAATTTTAATTCCATATTGATCAGGTGCAGTTCACTTTCAAATTTCATAAATGTTTAACATCTTTGCAAATTATGCCTTGAACTATTAGCCATAACTGATAGAAGAATAATAAAAAGGTTAGTCCTATTTAAAAATATCAGATCTAAAATGGAATCTGGAGGATGTAAAAGTCAGACTAGTGACTAATTCATTTTTTTTTTGCAGGACTGATACCATAACTATATTAAAATCATTACCAAATATTCGGTAAGATTAGCATATAATGATATCTATACTGCTCGAAACAAAAATCAAACTTTAATTTGGGGTTGGAATGAATAAAATCAGTAGCAATCAATCAGGTATGAATCAACCCATAAATTGTGTTGGTTATTCAGGTCTTGAATTACTTGGGATATAACACAGTGCTGTTCTGTTAGTGGCACGCGGGTTTACCAACTCCAGGCAATACATACCGTCAGGCATATAACCTGAATCTATAAATGGAGACAAAGCAAAAGGAAACATTGGTTGAAACATGTACGCATAAAAGAACTGAAATATGGCCCGGTGTGGAAAGGTGAAAACCTGAATAATTTTGTGTTCTGTTTCACTTGTTTGTTTTTCCATGCAGGTGTTGTTGTTTTTTTTGTTTGTTTTTTTTTTTTTGTTTTTTTTTCAAAATATATGGCACAAAGGTCAGAATAATCATTATCATCATCATCAATATCATTAGTCAATAAAAAAAGTACTAAACAAATCTGAGTTCAACATAGTTCTAAGGGTTATTTTGTTGTAGGATACATTTTTTATCTAGTATCATCAAGGACCTACAGCTGTATGAAAGAACAACCAAAAAGGCTTCAGAACAGAAATTTTCTACAAGCAATAAATTTTTAAACAGTGACAAAACGCATGATTACAAGACAGCACACTAGAGACAGAATGAGCATATTCAATGAAAACAGTTTCCTCTCTATTCAGCAATGATCCATTTGGCATCTACACATACCGAGTAAAATTAGGCAAAAACCGAGGCAAGATTTCTGGACTCAATCAAGAATATTTTCTACTAAAGCTAAGTAACAATTTCATCCTCTAATCAATAAGTTTGACATAAGATGGAATTAATACATAACCTTTTAAAAACAAATTACAATTTGGTAAATAATAAAATATGCAAGCTAGTTTGAGCCGAGAAATTTCCTTCAGCTGAAAAGGTATTAATAATAGAACTAAGATAAAATACGAGGCAATCCATGAAGAGTCATTGAATTTAAAATGACATTTAAATGAAATGAAAAAAGTGACACAACTTAAGTTTTGTAAACATGCACAATATCAATTTGCCTACATCTTTATACTATAAATGATTGCATGTTCTAGACAGCTTTGAACCAAATAATATTTGACAATTTGAATTCTGTAGACCACTACATCACTAACTCTCTTAAACTCAGATTTGAAGAAAAAAGTATTTCTTTGAGAAGTACAGCATACAAAACACCTAGGTTACCATAAATCAAAGTAATGATCAGACATCAAGATAAAAATAGTGTTATGAGCAAACTAATTTTCAAAACATTGTTAATAAAAAATTAACTACGAAAAAAAAATTCATGTAATCCTTAGCAAATGCATTAGTAAGTAAAGTTTATTCTATGAAGATATCCAGGGCAATCATTTGACTCAATACATACTGTAACGCCATTTTAGTTGTCTTTTGTGAAAAGAGGTAAGGGGGACACCATCTAATATAATCAAATTAAATATTTTTATCAAACTGCTATAAATCATTGAAAAAGTTCACATAGTACATCTAATACAGTAAAAGTGACAAAATAACTATTAGATGAAAAAAATCCATAAAAAAAACAATTTTGTGATATCACATGTAAGTAATGACATTCACAATGGCAAAAATAGTGCAATTTTTGGGTCATTTTCAAAAAGATGAGTATAAAAAGTGTTTCTGTGGTCCTAAAATGTCTTTCTTCTCTTTACAGAAAATCCTTTTTGAAAAAGGTAAGGGAGGTTTAAGAAGTGCACTATTTTTGTCACAATGAGTTTAATGCCAATTTCAATATAAAAGCACACATAAAACACAAGACAAAGACAGTGTACATGTACACAGTAGAACATGTAAAAAATTATGACATCCACCAAAAAGCTTGTATGACATCCATGTAGAAAACTCGACCAACCCAAGGATGCTCACAAATTACTAAAACCAAATACTACCTCCACAAATTGGCAGATATTGCATTTTGTACTAAGTGAGCATCCTCTCCAAAGAAAAAAAGAAAATCAAGACTAACTCTAGAAGTAATACTCTACCTGACCAACCCAAGATTTCATCTGAAATGGCAGAAAAAATAAAAAACCATGCTTGGGATTAATGGGTTAAATAAAACATATTATAGGGAATGAAGGGTAAGTGGGGAGTAAAAAGGCAGGCGTTTGGAAAAAATAAACAACCATAAAGTAACATAAACCACAAACAATAAAAAGAGCATCGTTGACTAATTCTTGCCTTCATTCTGTGCTTAACTCAAATCATTCTATGAATAATAAAAATAATAAAAACAAGCAGAGTCTGCTTCCTAACAGTGCATGTGCCATACAATTGGTCTTAGATTTTAATGTGCAAGTATAAAAAAAGTTAAAATTTTGTAAACAATGGAGATGAAAATATAAGAAAAAAAATGATGCAAAATGAAATTTTAACAAAATTAAATCCTTCAATACATTGTATGACATAATTTGTATAAATGATGCACTGGGAAGACTAATTTAAACTTAATATAAAAAAACCACCTACCCTTTCATCAATACATGACAAGACAATTGGGACATACAAAAAGCACAGCAATCGCAACAAATTCTAGATATTATTTATCACTAGAAAAACTAACACAAGATGCACTAGATTAATTGTTTTTTAATGGAAATTGATCAGCTTGTTTTGCCCTTCAATAATGCAAAGCAGGTTTTGCATGTACAGTTCAAATTGAATCAACTGGTGGTGAGCTTAATCATGAACATGTTAATACTTCTGTTCCCGTTTCATGGCAACATGCACATTCCCCACATTGCAACACTGACATGTTAACCCTTTAAATTGTTTAAAAACCACAACTTCTCTTCAAAAAATCATTACAAAATATTCCTCTTACCAGGTTTTTCTCCCTGCTTTTTGCCTTCATCTGTTTCTGCTTTCTTTTCTTCCCTTTTCTTGGCAACAAGTTGCAGAATTTTATCTTGCCATGAAGAAGCAGGTGGGGGCTCCACGGCCTCAACCTCAGTCTCTATTGAATGAGTATTTCAAAGTTAATAAGTTAATCATAGTAAATCAGCTTTCTCAAGTTGTGAAACATAAGTTCACTGAGCATTTTAATGGTTTTAAGACATTTAGCAAATTGTTATAATAATAATAATAATAATAATAATAATAATAATAATAATAATTATTATTATTATTATTATTATTATTATTATTATTATTATTATCATCATCGTAATCATTTTTATCACTGTTGTTGCTGTTCTCATCAATCATCTTTTATAAACATTATCACAATTATCACAATCATTATCACAATCATCATAATCATTTCTATCATTCTTATCAAAATATCAAATAAGATATTAATCAAATTGTCATTATTATTATTATTGTTGCTGTTGTAGCTGTTCTTGTTATCACAATCATCTTTTATGAAAACTTTATCTCAATTATTACAATCATTATCACACTCATCATTATCATTCTTATCAAAATAGGCCAATCCAACCTTTCTCCTCCTTGCTGGAGGGGACAGCACAGTGCTCCAGGAGTTCATTATGGAAGTTCTTCAGGATCTCCTTCAGGTCATCACTGCAGGGACACACCATGCCTCCATCTTCATCCTCTTCACTTTTAAAGTTCAGCAAGGACCTCATCTGAATAAATAAATTTGGGAAAGAATGTCAGGGTTGCTCACATTTCCATTCTCAAAATGTGCAGTTCTCTGGTTGGGCAATGCTGTTAATTACAGAATAGCAACTAAACATTAAGAATTAACACTGAAAAATGTGTGGCACAGGGCATAGGGTTAAAATTCCCTTCAACACAATCCATGTCCTCCTAGTCTTCACTTTACCTGCTCTTGAGGGGTACAGCGGAACTCTCGAGTTTTCTTGGCAGCAATGGCTGGTGGAAGATCTGACTGCTTGATATAGTTGTATCTAACTCTCTGGTCCTAAAACAGTAATAAGTTTATGAAGATTACATGAAAACCAGTTGATACATCTAGTTTTAGATTAACAATGTATGTTAACAGATGATAACTTTGACTACATAATAAATCTTCCTCATGAGCTGCGACTAAACAATACCCTTATGTTTCCATCTTTCTACTGAATTGTACCTTAGGTCAAAAAATGTTGACTGTAGACAAAAGAGAACATTTGTCTCAGCAAAACGTATAAATAAATAAAGTGTCAAAGTCAGATTCAGCTTTATTTTATGTGATTAAATCGATCACAAATAAGTTAAGTTTGGTCTTACATTTTGAACAGCTGCACAGAAGTCTGTTGCAAAAGACATAATGGATTCCATTCTTTTACGAAGCTGGCAGTCACAAAGGTGTTTCAGCAGGTGACACATCTGCAAAGTATGCAAGAGTTTTATATATAAAATGTGTATTCAACAACTGGAGTTTCAGATTCAATGTGGGCTGGCCTCCTAACTTTTGAATTGCCATGTATCTGATAAGCTTACACTGTGCATATTTGAACATAAAAAAAAGCTGGCAGGCATCATATCTGAAGCCCAGGATACCATATCCTAACACATTTTACCTTTCACATGATACCAATGAGACTTCCTACTGGTACAGAATGTCGATCAAAGCACATTTATAAGTACTGTGACATGTCAGATACTTAAATCTCTCATCTTCATTGTCTCACCAAGTAAACAGGTAGACCTGTGTGTCATAATTATCAAAATTTATCAAAAAAAAGTGACCCACCTCCAATTTGACAGGCTCTGCTAATTTCATCTGCAACAGTCCCTCTGCACAGAAACCTACAGAGAAAATATCATGATGAAAAAATATATACTCAATATACTTGGGATATAAGGTTGATTTAAAGATTATACTAATATACAAATGATTTGCCTAATTTGAATACAGTACTATAATTTCATTCCAAATAAAAGTAATGTGACAATCTCTAAGGAAAAAATTAGTGTTTAACACCAAACACACATAAAAATCAAAATATTACATTGCCCACTATGAATTTACATGCAGGTCAAATCAGTGACATACCTTGTAAACCAAGACCCCACCTTCTTGTGTAAACTGGAACCAAATTGAAAAACAAAACACTCAATATTTCAAAGCAGATTCACCTCTAAAAATACACAGCCAGCATACTTACTTACCTCATAGTGCAATTTTTTTCCAAATGTTTTTTCTTCTTTTTCTTCTCATCAATCCTTTTATGCCACATCCAGATACTACAAATACCTTATTAGCCAACATTAGTAGATCCATAAATGGTAGCCAACAAAATATTTTTTAACTTCTGGCCATGACACCAAATAATTGGCATGAAGAAGGTGGTGGCCAATAAGATATTTTGTAACATCTAGATATAATCAACTTATTAGACGTTTATTAGACATATCTCACAATCTGATAGGTTCATTAGTAATTGTTGAGATGGCACTGTTTGTGTGGGTGAGTACTATAAGGCAGTGGGTACGCTGGTTGGGAACAAAATTGCACACTGCATTAACTTAATTTACAATCTCATGCAACACAAAATTTGCTTTGGCTTTAAAACCAAAGAAGCAATTATTTAAAATGAATATGTTAGTATTGTCACTCCAATCTTCATAACAATGAACACAAAATTGCAAATGGTTAAAATGGTTTTTAAAAAACTGTAAGAATTTACAATAAAATAGTTTGGAAGCCTCTCAGATATTTTCAGCTTTTTTACACATTAACTGATTAAAGCAAAACATTATTCCAAATGGTTTGCTCTAATCAAGCAATTGCTATTTTTCCACTTCTCGGAGATTAAGCTTTTTCAATGAAATTTGCCATAACATAGCAGTTATGTTAAATCTCAGTAAAATCATGCATTTCCTAACACAACCATAAGTGCACAATGAAACACTAGTTTTATAAGAAATTCTAAGGCCTAGCTTACTTCTTTCCTTGTCAAATGTATGTGGATCTATGAGCACAAACAACTGATGGAGGTCCTCCTCTGTGCACATTCCCATCACCAGCAGACGATCTATTAGACGCAAGAGAGGCCTAAAAGAAACAATTATGTAATTTTTATTTTTCATAATCATTATTTCCATTAGACACATATTTTATGCATTATCTTAAATATCATCATTTTGCAATCAAAGTAGCCCAATCCACTTGCTAAATAAAGTACAAAAATCTTATGCAAAAATTGTGATCACCAAAGGAAAAAAATCAATCATTTTCCATCACTGCCAGTAGTAAGTGTGTTCTATAAATATATTAAAATATGACATGGTGAAAAATATATTCCACAAAGTTAAAAAGCTTTGTATCTTCTATTAGAATCCGTAAATAAATTTACATAGAAAAAGGAAAAATAAGCCTCTTACACAAACAAGTTTTCCTGTGAGCCTCCAATGGGATCCCTGATATGGGGTCCTCCTGTCTTGACGGCCATCACCAGGGAGTGCATGGTGTGCTCTTTCAGTGCTCCTAGGTAGAAGGGGGGTGCAGCCATGGGGGCAGGGGGCGTGACGCCTTCTGGGACACCAAGGTTCATGGAGCCCACATTGCTAGAAACAAAATCATTGGTATCCTTTTTTATTTTCTAAAGTATAGCAGTGATTACATAAATATACTTCTTTTAAGTAATGGGCATAAAGTAGAAATATTTCCTTTAACTGGGATGTGAAACACAGTGCATTTAATATAATTAAAATAATCTAACAATTTAAAGTGTAATATAGCATAACAAAATAATACATATTACTGTTGTCATTACATTTTTATCATCAAAAACAATAATAAAAATACAATAATAAGTTATAAAAGAATATATACTGGGTGTTTTCTTATTTGTTTACAGTAAATGCTAACACACCTCTCCCCTTCCAACTGTAAATGAGGCCGAATAGAGACACTGCGCTCCAGTTTGGGAATAGACTGTCGCTCTTTTTCCTTGTCCTTGTCAACAAATTGATACAATGGTTTGGGATCCGCCACCAGAGGGATGATAAATTCGTTTTGGGTCATCAACCTGAAACATGAATAATGCAACTGCCAATGAACTCTTTGAAGCATATAAGTGCAAGATGTGGAAATAGCTTGATATCGGTGTTCACTTTTCTGCATCCTCATATATGTTCACTACAAACAATTATATTTTATAAGCCACTGACAGACAATATGCAAAAATAAATGTAAAGAGAAGTGGACTAATGAAATAACAATTTTTATTCACAAACTTATAAAAAGGGTTCTGGAGAACCTGGGCATTGATCCCAGTACCTCTCACATGCTAAGCGAGCGCTCTACCATTTGAGCTAGATCCCCATCTGAAATGCTTCCTCTAATACAAAGGAATTGTTCTCAGCATTTGCCTGACTAACTGCAATTATTCTAAAATTACCTTTGTTCAGAGGTATTGCTCTACTGGCTTGTTTGCCGCACTAAATTCAGTAATGGTCAATTTACCTGGTTGAAGGCAATTGTTTAACTAGTAAGCATGCCCAATAACAATCAATCTAAGTTTTATTTGCTGACATTCTATTCTTTTTTCACTCCATACTTAAAATACATAATACTGTGAGCTGATTTCATTCTTTTTGGTCATAACAGATACCAACAACAACCAAAGTATAAATAAATATATAAAGAGCACTTTGGTTTTTTATATAGTAAATGTACAAATAAATTAAGTTATATAATGGCAAATGTGTAGGTGAATAATTCTAAAAAAAAGTTATTTTGTAATATCATGCAAGGGCATCTTTGGTCAAATCCTATTATACAAAAGGCTTTTTACCTAAAATACTTTCATGCAATTAGATGAAAGTCGCTGTCTTCAATTATCTTTAATTGTGACTTTGCATGACTATTTGTCTATTGTTGTTGATCTGATAGCTATAAACAGACAAGCACTCACTATTGTGTGACAGGTAAGAATTATTTCACAACTCAGGCAACGCAGCAAAATAATTACATTTATGTCTCGTGAGCTTCTCAGATGGGGATCTAGCTCAAATGGTAGAGCGCTCGCTTAGCATGTGAGAGGTACTGGGATCAATGCCCAGGTTCTCCAAAATGTTTTGAAAGTTTCAAAAATTTCAGTTACTGAAACTGTAATTCATCCATAATTCTACAATGTCCTCTTTCTCCACATAATTTCATGAAATCGTTCAACCTTTGGGCAACAACATCAATTTTTCAGGGGACTTAACATCCATAAGCATTTTTCCAAATTTATTTTTGCTCACTAAACTTTCAATAAAATTGTTCTCAATATCAATAAATTAAATATAATAAATAAGGAATATTTGCTACACCTCCACATTTAACATACACCAAAATCTTAGGCATAAAGATCAACAAGTAAAACATCAATCATCAACACAACAAATGTGTGACCAACTTCACATTTATGGATTTTATTTAACTATTTCTATATGTTTAATCAAATCATTTCAATATATCATGGCAGGTTTACCTTGTGACAGCATGAGATTCTAGATGCATAGATATCAGCAGATCATGGAAACCCATCCTCAGGGCCCCTGACAGGTCTGAAATAACAGGTCAAATAGGCTTTTTAATTATTATAATCAATACTCATTATAAAAATACATATCTTTACAAGTCAAATCATTCTATTTGTTGAGGCACCACTGTGTGAGGCATGCACTGAGGCTGCTGAACAGTTATACTTTATGGTTTGGTTCCAGAGTTTCAAAGTATAATATCTTGATCAACAAATAATCAAACCCCTCTAGCAGTTGCCAATGAAGTATGTAAGAGTGTTTTTTGTAACGCAAGACCTGTGGCATGTAATGGGTGCAAATTTATTGTGGGAAAGTGTTGGAGTGGAAAGCAACAAATTTTTGGGTATAAGTCTAAAGGAGTACTTCCTCATGTCGTGATGGGAGTTGTTGGTTTACACAACTATAACAAAGAGTTTGGGTGATGGACAAAAAGCATTGTGTGACAAAGGGAAATAAAGTACACAACAATAAGCCTTGTGCTGTAAAAACTGAGTCCACTTTCTATTCCTCCCTGCACAGAAGGGGATCTAGCTCAAATGGTAGAGCGCTCGCTTAGCATGTGAGAGGTACTGGGATCAATGCCCAGGTTCTCCAGAGTCTTTTAACAATCAATTCTTTTTTCTCAATATCCTCTCTTCTATGCTGTCAAGATAATTTTGATGGAAAGGAGCTAGCTCTTTATGTACAAATCTCTATATGTGTCTGCTTCTTCAACTCTCACATTCAGTGACATTTGATTCTTGTTTATTCCAAAAATAAAAAGACGCCATCAACTACATTACACACTTTTTTGTTGAATAACCAAGACAGGAGTAGGTATAAACATACAACAGACTTACATTCACTTTGTATGCAGTACATCAACTGGCGTTCATCAACGTGTTTGGTTAGTTCATATGCTGCTCTATGGTTGCCATGGGAACATATAGCTCTGTACAGTTCCAATGTATGCACGTGGAACCTAAAATGAACAGTTACGCAAATTTAGCTTGATAATTTTTGAGATTTGATCCAATCCAACAACTAAAATGATTAATTGTTACAAATAATATCCTCCTCTTATTTTGTACCTTTTAAAATTAAAATAATTATTATAAAATTATATGAGAGGTCTAGTAAACATTCAATATGTACTAAAGACAGTTAAAAATCACACTAATCATTATAATTATCAATCATACAAAAACTATGGACAGTAAATGAAGGAATAAGGAGGTAATTTACTATTTTATGTAACAGATTATGTCTATTTTGATGCAGTTGTTCATAAGCTATCAGTTGACATACTTAAGAGCCTCTGTATGCTCTATCAGTTCCAAAATGTCCAGACTCCTGTCTTCTTCTGGTATATGAAGACCAAGCATGGCAACTGAAAAAAAATAAACAAAAATCAGAGTTATCAACTGTATGCATTTTTGCAGACCCTTTACATTTTTTTACCATCTTTTTGCCTAATTATTTTTACCAGTGAAGCAAATGAAATATTAATTAAATTTTTAAAAAAGATGCAGTGCAACCAAGACAAATCATCATTTTTTTTTTACCTGGGCTCTCACAAAGCATGCTCCAGCCTCTAATCTCGGATAGTTTGAGCGTGTTGACCTTGAGTGACTTATTGGGAACACTTGACCAGCGGTGTGGCACCAGCAGCTGGACATCCAGACGTGATGGACACTGAGGTATGAGGTCTTTGGCACCACGGAAGAGAGCAGCAGACAATGGGAGAGTTGTCTGGTAAAAACAAAACCATGAGGAATTTATATCACATACAAAAAATATGTATCAAGATTTTTTCAAAATTTCCTTACTCATCTTCATTTAGTTAATATCAGGAACTTGGACATCACAAGTATTCCATTAGCTTAAATCTTAAGAACATTACAATACTAAAAATAAATTAACATGACTGGTGAAATTCTTTGATGAATAACTTTAACTCAGATTTGGCAAACGTTTAATTACTAATAAAAAGCCATTAAAAAAACTGCACTATATGGCTTTTCTCTATACCTTTGTTCTCCCCAGTTCAAACTGGAACATTTCATTGTTGGTTGGTTCACAAAAGACAGCTGGATACAACTTCGTCCCAGGTTCAACCTGGTCAAAAAGATAGCTCTTTAAAAATGATCCATACATTGATGAAGAACACAAAGCAGTGTTTCTAGGTTTTATTTGCATGATCAAATCTACTTTCAGTTCTACAGTTGGTCATAGCAGAAATCTATTCTGTGACATTTCTTTTGAGCCCCATGCTATAACTCATATTTATATGAATATGGATGTGACCTTCAAAACATATCAGATGGATAAAAAACTTTAAATTTTGATGACTTAAAAACTATCCACTATAACTGAACCAAGTGATGACAAAATGCTTATTCTGGCACTGTATGTCACAAATAACTTTCACATAAATGTCTCAGAAGCTAACTGACAAAAACTTCAGGATCACAGAGGTACATTTTAAAATTAATCCCACATATCTATATATCACATACCTGGAATTTGTTTGCTACTTCCTTGCCATTCACAGTAAAGCTGAGCAGTCCAGTAGAAGCATCAATAAATGAACCAATGAGAAGTCCTGGCGACACTCTCCTCAAGCCTGCTGTCTGTTCCTGCTGGCCATATCTCTGCTGTAAGTCGCCAGCAGACACCATGTAACAATTCTTTCGGCTTACACTGAGAAAAAAGTATAACATATATTTGAGCAAGAAATGTTCAGAGGACAATCAAATTGGCAACTCCCATAATATTAACATAATAGTTACAGTATGTTGGATATCGAAAAAAATCATGAAAATATATAGGGTCTTACGAAAACATTTGTATTTGTATCAAAACAAACTATTGTGGTTTGAGTATTTTTTAATTAAAAATCATTAGATGTATGACAGTAATGTACACTTGTTAATTTATGATGTCAAAAACACTTAATATTAGTTCTATTCAATAGATGGCATTCCTACCTGGTTTTTAAATGATAATCAGCATCCAGTGTGCATACAACAACATTTCTCACTTTCTTCATTTGAAATTCCTTCTGATGGAAGTGATACCCTGAAGTGACCCACCCTACCCAAACATGGGATGGGTCTTGTCCTGGGAAAACACGCACTCCATAGTAGTAGTCAAAGACTTCTGACACATTGATGTCAGGGTCCATCACTTCTGATTGTGAATCTGCATCTGAGCCATAACTGACTTCACTGAAAGATTTTTGAAGTGAAAGTCCGGGATAGCCTGCGTCATCCCTGTGTTCCTGGATATTGATTGAGGGGGTCACAAGACTGTCATCCATGGAGTCCCCTCTGCCAACTTTTGAAGGAAGAGTTCTGGATTTCTTGTCCTTCTTCTTGTCTCCCCGTTCACTTGGACTGGGGTCCCTCGAGCGAGATTTCTTGAATAAACTGAATGGGGACTTTGACCGCTTGGTTGGTTTTTCCAATGAACTAATTTGACGCGAGGCATCCTGGAAGTTTTCTAAAAGTGAAAATTTAGATGAGCTTTTTTCTTTGCTTGTGGGCACTGTGAGCATGCTGTCTTCTAGCTCCATATCACTAACAGGGGACCCAAGAGAACTATCCAAGGAGTGAGGTTTGCCTCCCCTCGACCCACCAAATACCTTTCTCCTTTCTCCAGCATCTATGCTATAATCCTCCGTGTAGCCACGCTGTAATTCTGAAAAGCAAAAGGTTGCTTAATTTAGCACTCATGCAGAAGCAGATGCAGAGCATTTTAACATATCAGCCATAAATAATGCATCATTTTCTATTCTAGAGCCATGCCTTTTTGATATGTTATGGGATCCTAATGCTTACAAACTATACATATTTCAGTTAATAATACTTTGTACTGCTGCAAGGGTATATTCTTCATTTCTCTTCATTTTTTTAATTGTTAGAATTTTCAACTTCTGTTAGCATGTTATTCACCTAACACTTCCATGCTAAACAATCCTAATTATGTAGCCTTCATGTCTTTACATGAACTTTTTAAACTAATAAACGGTCATGGCTGTAAGGATATGAAATATACCAGGATAATTCATAATTAATATTGACTGCCAAATCCTGGAGTTGATCTAAATATTTCATCCATAATATATATTAACATTTAACAGTGGCACTATTACCTGGTCATCATATATACATGATAAAACTGATCAAATGTTAGTCTCAGAATGTTAGTCACAGGTGGTTTGGACATATCCTTTTAATTCATATTGAAGAGAAGCTTTCAGCACAGTTTAAAGTTATAGGCAATAAGAAGGAATTATCTAATAGGGCAAATTTCAAAGCAAACAGCCTATTTTTATACAGCTTCTTATCCATTTTCTACTGATTTCTTTTTTAGATAAAAACACCAGAAAAGAAAGTCACTTTGATAGATCTTCAAAGAATGGGGATGGCAGTCAAACAGATCTTTTAGATAAATGTGAAGAAACAGAAAGATAAGCACTGCAACACAAGTTTCTGTAGGTTTTAAGAAGCATCAAATAATAAACTCCTTGTAATTTCAAATATTTAAAACTGAGAGCGAGAGAGAGAAACTTCCTGTGGGTGTTATGGATTTATTAGAATACTCCAATAGGGCAACTATGGATTCTACATTGTTCTTTAAAAGTTGAGGTAAAAAAAATATCTGTTTACCAGTGTGAAAAGAAGATAAAATGATAAACTGTAGGAATCTTTGGACAGCACTGGATAAGGCCCACATATGGTCATATCTCAATTACAAACTCATTGCTAAGTCATGATTTTTGTTTCTACATGGCATGTTGGTTGGTGGGTTGCTATATCACAAGCATTTTGTGTACTTAGGAACTGATTATTCTGGGAAGAAGGAAGGGAAGGAAAAGCATGCATACCAGTACCGGAGCTTGCAGACTCACTCATTTTTGACTGCCGTCTGTCATCACTTTCACTGGAATCTATATGGGCAAATGAAGATAAAATGCAAATCAATCCATGCAAATAAACCACACACATGATATATAATATAACCCTTTATAGCATGCAATGTTAATACTTGGTTAGCGACATATTTAACTACTTTGATGTGTCAAAATTTTGTCTTTATTATTTCAAATTTGCATGAGAAATATAGTTAAAATACCAAAAAATTTTTGTTATTCTCAGCACAAGAATTAGTCAGAAAACAAACTTTAACAAATTTTATCTCTAAATCACCTTTTACTAAATTTCTAGCTAACTCAACTAGCATATTCTAAGCATGAGAAGCAGTGCCAAGCAAAATACTGTATATGTATATATTATACTATGAGGAAAAATTAAGCTATAAAGTGTACAATTCTGTAGCATTCATACTTTAATCCTGAAACCGAAATAAAGCACATTAGTTCAACAAATAAATCTTGCACAGATTTCACAACGTTTTATAAAGTCAGTAATAAGCAATTAACGTTGGAAGAGACTTCAAAAAAGAGATTTAAAAAAAGTTAGAAATGATCTCCACACCTATAGCACTCATACACAACTACTAGTAACAAGGGTGCATTCACAATAATACTTTTGTACTAGGTAGATTGATCCAGCTCTGCGGGGACCCTCAATGAATGCAATCAGATTAACTGAATGACATCCCTCCTCGAGCAGCTAAAGGGTGATTTAAGGTCCCTGTGTTGCTTGAGGACAAGTGTCATTCAGTTACTCTGATTGCATCCAGCGAGTCCCCGCAGAGATAGATCGATCTGCCTAGTATGATAATTTCATTGTGAACGCACCCCAAGAAAGGTGTCCAATGTGGCCACTTCTTAGAAAGGAATGTGTTGGTTGCACCCTGAGATTCAGAAACTTCAGGTAGCCTCCACAGTATTAACCAAAACGTTTTACAGATAATTACCCCCTAACAGCTTTACCAGGCGTGACATACATTTTAGTCCGTTGAGTTGATATCAATTTATTGAGACTCCCCAGGGAGATAGATCGATCCAAATATCTGTGGGAATGGTCTCTTAAATTATTATGTGAAACTGAACCCAAGTGGTTATTGTACTTGAGAAGAGGTAAGGAGCTCTGAACCTCAGGATGATTGATTCTAAAATGATAAACATCACTTCTTAATTATATGAATATCCTTTTAATGCAGAGCGTATCTCACAGACATATAAGAAAACTTGTAAGTGAAAACCTGTGAAATCAAATCTTAATATACTAGTGAATAAAAGGTCATATTTGAAATATGGAATGATAAACATTCCACTCAAAAATTTTGACAAATATGACCATGAGGTTGACTTATTATTCCCCAATGGCATAAGGTATGATTGCAACTTAGTTTTCACATCACATATTATAAGATGACATAATATACTTGATTTTACAAAATAAAGTTCACAAAAGCAGGGACTACAAAGCAGAGTGGACCAATATATCAGACCTTAACAAAACACTGCCAATTTTTTACAGAAAGTCATGAAACAATATTATATGCTAATCACAGTACACAAACAAAAAACAGTCACAATAATGAGGCAAGGCTACAGCAGATTTGTTTAGAAGGATAAAATTTAGTATCCATCAAAAGAAAGAATTAGATAAATACCGTACTAGGTATCACAGAGAAGTTTTAAATTGTGTTTCGGTAGCAAGACTTGTTTCCTTTTCCTTTTCAGAGACTTATTTTATATATGATCCTAAATTATGAATGATCCCCTATGGGGATTATATGATAATCAGCAAGTTTCCTTCTTTTTATAATTGGGAAAAAAAGATAAGCTTGCTAAAAACACATAGCAGTGGATATTTTCAAACAGACAATTAAGTACACACAAACAAAGTAGCAGTGCCAGGAGTATAGAATAGGCTTAATAAAACTTAAAGAATGCTACACAAACTATAAACTTACAATTTTTTAACCCGTTCCGTTTGTCTAGAGAATTTTCCCGTGAGCTTGAGTAAAGCAGTCTCCGCAATGAATCTTTTGTTAGCATGCATAAAATGAAAGTTAAATATCAAGCATACTGTTCTCCCCAGGCAGCATAAAACAGACTCTATGAACAGACCTGGTTAGGATTTTTATTTTCCAACTTTGATGTTCATGTCACAATTTACAAAAATTAAGAAAAAAACTTTAGATTGATGCATTCTAAAATAATTATTTCAACAGCATTAAGTTGTTAGTTTTGCTTTTAATGTGACAGAAAAAACAATTCTACAGTAACTATAATTTTTTTATTAAATTTCCAATACAACTGCGCAAAATAAATTGCATATTTTTTATTTAATCTCAGTGGTATTGTTACATGAAGTTTCCAGGCCTGTTAAGTCAGAGTCAAACTGCCATTATAACACCAAATAATGATGAATTGATCCATCTCACCATATACTAGCCTTTTGTTAAATATGTTTACTTTTTCAACTAAGATTACCCATGCAAACTTTTATGAATCACAGAAAAACTGAAAAAATATTAAACATGCGGTTGTAATCTGCTGCACACAAACATAGTGTTAGAATATCTCTTTATTGTCAATACCAACTATATATAAAGGACAAAAAGATTTTTAATTGGGGGCCAACTCGAAAGTTCACGTGTTACAGTATCTGCAAAAGTAGGAGGCATGAAGAGTTAGGGTGCATTCCCAGAGATTTAGATTGATCTAAAGATTAAATTTTAGTTCGACCTAACTCCCTGGGGGTTCACGCTAAATTGCAGTCAGCCGAGCGGGCACCATAGTTAATTACCCCCTTACAGCTTTTAGTAGGCGGGACAGATGCTTAAGCCGGCCAAGCTGACAGTAATCTAGTGAGACTCCCCACAGGGATAGATCGATCTAAAAATCTATGGAAATGGGGTGTTAGTTTTAGTTTTACTTCTTTGGTTAATTTGCTTTTCAACAAATCTAACCAACAGTCTTGACCTTTTACTCGCAAATCAAACTGGGCCTTAGAGCCCCCACTGCCATTTTAAAGAACTTTTTAAGAAATTTGCAGAAACCACAGTTATTTTCGATATAGCCTCTAAATCACTTTCAGAGTTTGTGAGAGAAATAAATATGTTGAGTCATTAAGTTGTGTGTGTATCTGACAGTGGATGATGAGAACAAAGTGGATGCTGAGACCCAAACATAGTATCTCTTGAATCTATGTTTTTATGTGAGACACACCACTTTTGGATCCTCGATCTATTCTTACCATCTGCAGTAGTATAAGGGAATATGTGTGTGGAAAAGGCTGTTCTGACTTGAGATTATAAAGAAAGGTGTTGCAATATGTGCTTAGAGATATGTCTGATTATAAGAATATTTTCAAATGATTTAGGGATACCTACAACTATCTTAAGTTTATGTATGACTTGTTATGGGTTACCTGATACTGCATCAAAACAACAGGTAGAAAATACTTCTAAAGGACATAGCAAAGTATCAAATGATATCAGATATAGGAAATGGAAAAAGATTAGGATTTTTAGAGAATTAAGTGTACTAACACATAAATATGGGACATATGTGAATAGTTGAGAAATGAAGAATCCCATCTCTGGGCAATGAGGTCTTTATTTACTGGGACGTTTACATATATATGATAAAAGAAAATTGAATGTGTTATTCAGTTTTAGAATACACATGCAATATGTGTTGAAGAGAAATAAATATACATGCAACAGTGATATGGTTCTAGTTACAGTGCATGGATTGTCTTGTTGATCTGATATGAGGGACATCTAGTGAGTAAGCCTATTGAATGTGTAGGAGGAGGGAGGGGGATTGAATGGCTCACCAAACCTCCTAAACTTATGAAATTTCTTTTCAGGTTTCATAAAAGAACGTCTCAAATCTGGATTGCTGAAGGCGTGACCTGTTGCAACAAATGTCACAGTAAAGGGAACTTTTAATGCACATATGTTGAATGCAGAACATGCCATAGCAACATGCTTCAACAGAAAAAACAACTAGAAAAATATTCACATTAAGTGGTTCTTCACTTAACACTGTATTCTTCCAGTCTTTTCATTATAAATATATATTGTGTAATGTTTGTGACATGCAGACTATATGTACCTCACTCAAGCTGACAATCAGGTGGGTTACTAACAACAACCAAAACATTCTATTGTTTGATTAAATATAACAAAATATAGTGACTGAAAAATAATAAATATACATTTTAAACTTTCATAATGCCTTTCAACCAACCCGTCCATTGCCTCTTCTCATGATACATTTACATTATAACTGCAATAATTGTGCAAACACACACATGCTGGGGCATGTACACTATCATACTATATCTCTCTCATTCTCTTACATAAACACTAACACATGCACACAAACTGCACACTGTTGTATCTTTAATTACCTGCGATGACTTTGTGTGCACTTTCGCCATCTTTATACCCATTGGTCAGTCCCTGCTCCTCCGAGATGTCCATCTGTCCACGGCGGAGATTCTCAAAGTTCATTTTGGCCTCAATCCTGGATGCATACATATTGTAGGGGTGTTTATCCCTGGTAGCCATTAGATGGAGGGAGAGAGAGAGGAAAGGTAAAACTGGAGGTTAATGGTGATGAAGCAGAAGCAGAAATGTTTTAAGCTTTGTAGATACAACACTGGTCAGCAAGTTGGTTGTGGTATAAAATAGTTTAAAGAATAAATGGATATCATATACATACACCATGTTGACCAATATTGTATCTGACTTGGTGGATCATGAGAAAAAAAAGAGCTAGTCATATATGGTGAATCTAACATACATGGCTGGATCTTTATTCTCAATGCCTGCAGTGATATGTGTAACTATTTTACATTCTGCGTTTGCAGGTGGTGGTTGTTACTCATTACAAATCTTGGCATCCCATAATGAAACACATGCATGTTCAAAAATTTCTACTGAAAATGGATTATTAATGTATCCTTTACATAAAACTATGGAATTTTACAATATGGAAACATTCCAATTTCATTTTAAAATAACTATTGAATATCCATGGATTTCAAAATGAATAAACCAAGACAAAAAAGATAGAATAATAATATTATTCATATCTTTTGTAAAAATTGAAATGGCATCACTATAAAAATATTATTTAATTTCATATTCATATTATTTAATTTCAGCTTTCCACACATGGAAGATCTTCTTAAGTTATCCATTTTTGAAAAATAGGTAATATTCTTACTGTGTAGGAGCTGGGTAGAATTAGCCACACTAATTTAAGTTATTAAGATTATGTTAAACGAGGGGCAAATAAATATTATGGGTGCTAAAGAGGTGAGAGAGTTAATCATACAGTTAAAATTTTGTTAACATGATTTGATTAATTTTGTGGTGAAGATTAGAAGAGGAACTGGTTACAAGGGATTTGAAAGGAAGTCAATTTCATAAGTAATTTTTATTGGCTTTCATAATGATAAAGTTTAATGAAAGATGCTTTTTCAGGAAAATAATTACTTCCATACTTATGTAATAGTCTTTACTAATTCAAGCCATCATAAATAGGGATGTTCAAGGTGAAAGACATTAATTTTTATTTCAATTGCTTTTTTATATCATATCACAAACACTTTTCTCAGAAAAAAAATCACCTTGGCCTGAATTCATCATGGCACTTGATGGGAAGATTCAACTTGATAAATTCCAGCTGCACTTTTTCAAGGGTACCATAGTTTTTGGAGACCACTTTCAGGCATGGTGGGGTGTTGGACCTGTGAAGTAAAGAATAAACAGTGTCAATTATGAAAATGGATGTAACCAACCAATGGTAATATAACATTTGCATGCAACCTCGTTTTAAAAATACAAAAGCCTTGGGTTTCACCAAAAATAATCACGAGAAAGTAATCAAAAAATAAAATATCATTCATATCACTAGTCTGAAACATTGACAACAGGATCTACATCAAATATCAGTCAAATATTAGCCTGGCAAATTAGGCTTTATGAATTTGCTTATTTATAGTGGTCACTGTTTCTGTCTTTAGCAATGAGATTCTTACTGTACATTTCATCTCTTGGTGGTGTCTTAAATGTTCTTTTTAAAAAAACTTGACAGTATTAAACTGGACATAAAGAATGCAACATACTGATAACATGTTTCAACATAGTGACTTTTAACCAAATGTTACACATATTCTAATTCTGCTATAGAAAATCTCAAATATTTTGTTTTTCTAAAAACTTCTCCATGCTGCCATAATCCAATAGTTGATTTGGCTACAATCATACATATATTTGACTAAGAGCAAGTTTATCCTTTGAGCTCAGGGTTTTCATGACCTTCAATATCAGCCAATCAAATTCTTACCCCCCAGGCATTCTAGAGACACCTATCCTGTGATGATCTTTGGGAACTGGCATGAAGATTGGGTTGTCTTGGCTGTACCATAGTGTCATCTGCTTAGTCATGTTGCTAAAAAAATAGCCATAACTGTTTTAAACAAAGAAATGGAGAAATTTTGCAACAGTACAGCCACCTTTTTTTAAAAAAAAAATCAGCAATAAAAAATACCATACATACAATTTTTCTTCTGTTATAGATGTACTTACAATAAAGGTCTTTTATCTCTATGTATATATACCTAACCGACCTGCACTATTGCCATTATGGACAAATCAAGCAATGAGTACTCGACTTACACACAGAAAGGTTCATAGCCTTCCTGAAGACCACAGCAGGTGAAATATTTCAGTGAGTTCACATCCTGACCAAAATTGAGCTTGGCTTGCTGAGACTGGCCCAGCGTGAAGACAGGAACATAGCCTGATACAAAGAAAAGATTTGAAACCTTTAAAATTTTTGTGGCAGTGCCCTCAGAATATCATTATTATTATTATTATTATTTGCCCATGCTATCAAATCTTACATATGCATCCATTCAAACAGAATTTTGTTTGACTTGAAAACATCAAACATTTTCATATTCTATAACAAAACAAAGAAAAATCCATATTTTCAACATGGTGATCATACTATTAAAACTTACCCTCTGAGACATCAATATCCTTGAATGCAATTTCTTGACCCATTGGATCCATCATGGCTTCCCCATTGAGAGAGAAACCTAGACAAAGTAAAAAAAATATGGTGAAATAACAAAGATAATTTTCACTGGTCTTTGAAGAAAAAAGTATGTGACAGTTAATCTTAAAATAAAGAATGACAACAATAAAGTTAAGCCTTTTTAACTGTTAAAGTAAGTTTGCATTTCATGCTTGTGCTTGCTATCTGTTTGTGATGCAGATGTACATATGTCTACATTCTATCATTTTTATGTATATAGTACAAGACTTTCTCACTGTAACTTCTCTGCTATCTAAATGTTTCTCATTTCTTAATTATGCTCATAAAAAATCAGAAAAGCATTTGGGTTCTGAGAGATTTATCTAAAAATGTGTCATCATACTGATGGTTCTGTCTGGGATGTCCAACATGCAACCAATCACATCTCCTGCCTGCCATGTCTTCCCATAGGCCTCAGAGCCATTGTGCCACTTCCTGGCCTGTATAGTACATAAATTATGTGAACTTTACTTTCACACTTTTTAACTTTCCTTATATATATATATCATGAATGAAATACTATTATAATGTTGTAAGTTATGTCTTTAAATGTTCTAATTTCAAGTATCAACACATTTATAGTTTAAAAAGCTGAACCAAATATACAAAGTTATATATACATATCCATGATAGAATAGGAAACTGAAATTGTGGGGGGAATTAATTTGTCCTTCATCAAACTGTATCGCTTAACTATTCATCTCTTACCATATAGCCATCAAATGCATAGGATTTATCGTCTTCTCCAATTTCTGCATCAGGTTTGCAGGACACTTTTGTCCAACCTACTCTCATATAGCCTGGAGTGATCACCTCAAACTCATAGTACCTGTCAGATTATAACATATAATTCAGTAAAAAATTCAGCAGCTGTGTGACAGTAACTATACAAACAAACATCCATTTCTGTTACTAGATAATGTCACCATGACAACATTGCCTCCTTCTCACAGTTATCAGCCTTAGTGGAGGAGGATACAATATTGTAAAATTCAAATTACTCATGTATTGGCAGATACTTTTTGTGTAGAAATATTTATCTTTAAACTAGAGAGAGGAAAATACTTTGTTTGATGAATAAAATGAAATTATATATCTAATTTTCTCCATACACTCAGACACTATAAATGATCAAAACCTGTTGCCTCATTCCCTGAAGAATCTGACATAGCAAACACCCGAATATAAAAAAAATGATAACTCTAATTTTGCTGCTAGTTAGGAATTATAACTGTCATTTTTACTTCTGCCCAAGCATTCTACCAGTATCTGCCAAGTTATTATGAAGTAGATGCTATATTTGTGTTCCTACCATTTTCCACTGGTTACAGCATATGTGAGTTGGCCTCGGTAGGTTCTTGTGGCTTGTTTCTTTGTGGTCATCTCATTCGCTAAACCTATTTAAGGAGGGAAAATACTGTGATACACCTTGATTAGATTAAATCAAAGAACCACAACTAAAATATTATTTTTTTTCATGTCAACTTGGGTTGATATCACAAATTTCAATACTGTATTGTATTGCATTCCATTGCAGCATTGTATTTATATAATAAAATTATATGATGATGTTTGAGATGGCTTTTGTAGAGTAACTATATGGCAAATATTTACAATCTAAAAATACAACATTTTATTGAGTTCCAGTTCCTTACCACCCTCTCCACCTTCATTTGTTGGTGGTTCCAAGTTGTAACCATAGGCAATCAGAGTTCTGACTGTTTCACTGGCAGTTTCTCTGTTGGCCCTTTTTATTGCTTCATCCACTTTTGCATAGGGAATAAGATGGGGTGAGCGTCTGTTCTTTGAATCCTGTTCATTAAAATCAAATAAAATTGAAATTCGATTATAACGTTTGTTATTAAAAAACACAAACAAAATACATTCTTCAACCTATTCATTAAATTTTTTACAATTTTTATCATCACTTTATTTCATTTCATTCCATTTCACTTATGTATGCTATATAGGTACTACTATGATTATTTTTTCTTTTTGGCTAGTCTACTAGTTTGAGTTTCATACATCCAGACCCAGACAATATTATTAACACAAGCATCCACTAATGCATGAGCAAACACACACACACACACACACATACACATACACACACACACACACACACACATACTTGTCTATGTGTACCAACCGAGGACATCAGCACAACACCATACAACCGAGGACATCTTATTCCTTGGTTAAATCAAAATAAAAACATTCAATTTAGGGTAAAATCTATTCGAGTATGAATGTTATAAATTAATTTTTTATAAAAACTAATTTTTTGCTGACAAGAATTTTACATTCTAACCGAGGACACACACGGACACACACACGGACAGACACTACACATTACAACCGAGGACATGCATGCATCTACATGTAATAATGATTGTACTTTTAATGCAAAGCAAATTTTATATAGCGTTACTTTGCAGCAATTCACATTTTTATGAAATTNAAAAAAGACCTTTAGTTTAAAAATATGAACTTACTGAATATATAGACATCTGAGATATAACATTAGTTTCAGTTTAGTCTGCCCTTTACAGCACAACCGAGGACGCGGAATTTGGTCCGCCCTTTACAGCACAACCGAGGACGCGTGTGTATAGCCCGATTTCAGACAAAAAGTTGGACAGTATTTCTGATACACTCGTGGCGGGAATTTGGCCCGCGCTATACAGCATAACCGAGGACTGGCTCAGAATAGCGTCAAATTTCACCACCTACCTTGAAATGGGCCCCTGTATGCATTCCACTGCTTATGTCAACCGAGGACGTCCTCGGTTGGAGGTGTGTCCTCGGTTAGTGGGTTTCGGGCGGGTGTGTGTCCTCGGTTAGAATGCGTGCACAAGAGCACACACACACACACACACACACACACACACACACACACACACTACTAGATGAGCAGTTCCAACTCATGCCTGTTCTCATATAAAAAATACCTCTGCCAGTCCATATGTCCATCCCTGTTTGATCCTGTCCCTGGCCCACACATTGTGAGTATTCTCTGCCAGCAGCTCCACCAGGTCATGCATCCTATCATCCAGTACTATACCAGACAGGTCCAGAGGGGTGGGTTTGTAGCCACTGGACTGGAGATAACTGATGGAGAAGAAAATAAGCCATTTGATAAATCATCTTTTGATTAAAATTTCAACTGAGCAGTGTCATTTTTTGTGTATTGTTTTATTTATATTTTTATGTATTTTTATTGTTGGTAATAACAAATAATTCAGAATGTCTTTTGTGAGGTGTAATTTGTCGAGTCACTGTGTAGCATATCTTTATCAAAAAAAAGACCTGTAATAATATTTTATTAATCAATTAATAAAATATTTTCAGCTTTTGCTGAATGATATGACTCATATGCACTTAGCGTATCAAGAAGCCTAGGATAGGTGTATTCTTTTCTTCAGTTTTGTCTATTTGCACTCACTTATAGATAATGTAAAACTTTTGCTTTCTACAATAGATAATGTAAACATTCAGGTTGTATACACACTACTCTGCCCTTTGTTCAGAAATGAGTGCTCCATTTTTCTAGTAAACCCTCTAAAGCTGCATTAAGAACAGTTGACTAACTAGTTGTTTAATCCGCTAGTAGATACTGAATAGATTCCCTGTGGGGAAGTATTCAAGTGGGTCGGCCATATTTGACCCGCGGACTAGTCAGTCCACTGTTCTGAATACAGCCTAACAATGACACAGTGTCATCCAATATAACAGTGGTGTGCAGACTGAAGTGTCAAGAAGGACACCAGAGTTTCAGAGAATAATGGAAACTTTTCTCCACTATCAGCCTGCCTCTGCCATTTCTTGAGGTCAGTTTTCAGTAATAAAACTGAAAATCAGGGCAGTGGATGTCACCATGTTGGATCGTTGATAGTTAAGGTAGGTGCATCCAACACTCTATGAAACTCAGGGTAGAAAAGGATAGTGTATTGACTTTATGGCAGACATAATAGAACTGACTGGTGCTAACAAGAGACATAAAACTGATCAATACAGCTTCTCATCTTCCATTAACAGGTCTGTTATTTAATTGGTAGAAAGAAAAGCATCAATGCTTTCCCTCAGGCACTGTATACTGGGGGTTGCATGCTACATATTGCATGAAGTGCTTAACACCATTTTAATAATGAATAACTGATATAAATGTGTGTGGTAAACAGCACGCCATTTTGGGATGAGTGAATATCAATTGGAAAATTATGATCTTTCTCAACCTAGGAATTTCTCTTGTTTTTCTCCATACTCTTAATGTGGGCATGTGAATGTGTGTGTGTGTGTGCATGCATGCGTGCGTGCGTGTGTAATATCAGCTTTTAAATGTACCCAAGAATAAAATGAGAATCTTAACTTTATCCTAAAATATCATTCCAAAAAGTGGTATGCATCATGCAGCTAATGATTCAAATAAACTACTATTATATTGATTTTTATCTTATAAAAGAGAGAGAGAGAGAGAGAGAGAGAGAGTGCACTAAGACTCTTGACTTACTTGTTTGGTAATTTGAGGGTTTTCAATCTTGGTATCTGATCAGGCGATGCTATTGTAATATGATAGCCCAGAGCCAACAAGGTTCTGAAATGGAACAGATGCTTCATTTACAAACACAAAACTAAATAATCTGCATCATTAAACATACACAAAAATAATTAATCATCTTTTCTGAGGGGGCCCAAATACTAAATATTCTTCATTATCACACATGCAATAAAAAAATTAATTATCTCTTTTGAAGGGACCCCAGTACACAAAACTAAATATTCTGCATTATCACACATGCACAAAAATACTTATTCATCTCTTATGAAAGAGGCCCACAAATAATAATCTATATGCCCAACATTTTTTCAATCCTTGGACTAGTTACCTCAAAGTCTCATAAGCTAGCGTTATATCATATTTTCTTTCAGCAGCAGGTAATCTCTCAAAGGTTGTTAGACAAGGATGTATTTTCCTCTGATCATCTCGCATCTGCAACAAAAAAATTATTTTCAGTAAGAAAAGTGAAATTAACTGATAATAATCTATGAAGTGACTATCAGAAGTAAAATAACACACTGATGCACTGCACTGTTTAGAAACTTTTAACTATAGTTATAAGTGAGATATTTTTGTACATTTTTTGTTAAAAATATTAATTTTGACCGAAAACAATCTTTATCTTAGATGGACATATATTTTAAATCACACACTAATTATTACTTATATGGACATCTGTTAAGTTTTAATATTTTTACCAGTTTTGTATTTTGGCAAAATGCACCTAAATTTGCAGAATGAATAATTCAGCAAATGGCAATTTACTGAACACCTAACAAAAAGGTAACCACTAAACTAAAGATAACAGTTCATGAAGACCCCACAACAATCTACCTCTCCTGATATCCATCCCTGCTCTATCTTCCCCATGGCCCACAGTTCATGGATATTCTCTGCCAGACGATCTCTCACATTCTCTATGTAAGTTGGAAGCTGAATCTATTTGACAAAAAAAGCGTTTTTAAAGAATCAGATATTGGACTGAAATGATGTCTTTTCATAGTAACTAAGCTCATATCCATTCTCTGTTCCTAAAATTTTGTGTCATTTGTATATTCTACATAAACATGACATATATATCTTTTATTCAGAAAACTAATTCAATTATTAAAGACTTGCTTTGTATAATCTATTTGTATTTTTCTTGTCGTTAATCAAATCAACTACATTTACTACTACTACTTACTTGTGATGTATCCACAGGATTGGGAACAAAAGTATATGACTGTATCTCTGACGGCCCACACAACACTCCTTTGGGAATGTTGCCAAAATGGAAGGAAGGCTGGATCTTGAGTTTTTCTCTGGGTAGCAGAGCCTCAGAGATGGGGGCATGGTCTTCTGGCGGCCCATGTTTCAGACGGCCATGTTCTCCCCCAAGCATGAAACGGCAGCTGAGCGTGTGAAAAAAATTAAATGTTTAATTCGTGTGAAAAAAAATGAAATGTTGAATTCAATTCATTCTTTTTATCTGATAAGACTTGTTATTTGTGTGCTCTACCCAGTGACCTATTTTTCATACAACCAAGTTCTCTCTTCAAGTAAAAAGACAGCAGAGCAAGCAAATTACAATTGCTTTTTATGAAAGGACAAGGATTCTGTGATCACTATGTTGGCAACAATTCTACCAAATGACACATGATTCTGACAACAGAGTGACATAGCTTATCCTTTGACAAAAAAATCTACCTCTAAGCAACAATATAACACTGAAAAACATTGGGAATCAACCCTATATAAATTGCAGAAGCTTGCAAATGCACAGAGTTGATAACCCTGTTTTAAACCATTCACACACCTGACTTTGGCAGAGAGACTGACAACAGGGTAGAACAGCCCTTCCAGGTTGAAGTCCTTGAAGAAGCCCTTGACTCGTACTCCGTTGACAGTAAATGAGATCTTTGGGATGGTGAGATCTAGAGCACAACCAATGATGTCCCCCTTCACTAGGTATTGACTGGTCAAACGCACAGTTTTAGGCTTGCCAGCTGAAACAAAGAGATATATTTCTGCACATTTTTTGTTTTAAATATTATACAATTATAAACTTGGCTGGTGTGTTGTTCTTAAGCCTCAGAAAAGTGATATAAACCAAGGAGCACTGGATTGTTTCCAGAAACCATGGACCTGTTGCTTAAAAAAACTTAGGTTGAAAGGTGCTCTGAAAAGTTTACTTTAACAAGAATTCACAAGTAGCTTTCTACAAACAAGAATAAAATCTGCCTGGCTAAAAGAAATCATTTTTCACTTTTCATGAAACAGACCTAATATTCCTATTTTAGTGGACTACAAAATGTAAGCTTAGATGCATCCAGCACCAATGTAGCAATAAAACCAAACATAAGGTTAAGTCCACATTTCAACTAAATAAAGTTCTTTCACAAAGCCAGCTCCACATTCCTCTTGCATAACTCACCTGTCCATAAACTGCCTCCATCAAACCCATAAGAGTACAGGTCATCACCAACCCCATTTGCACCGTAGCGGTCACCCCCGGCTGGGAATGGACAAAAGCCTGTGGTATTGGCCCAGCCCACCCTGATGTGAGGGTGTAGGTGAGTGACAGTTTCTACATACTCTACCGCGATTTCAAAGTACCACTTTTTATACATGGCAGACCCTTCCTGGAGGCCCACATATACATTGGGGTGCATGCTGAAAATAATAGAAAATAACCTTTTTATATGAAGGTAAACAAAAAGGAGAAACATTTCAGGTAAACTAATAAGAAGAGGAATTTAATAACTTATTTTAACAGAAGTCAATGCTTAAACAAAAAAGAAGAAAAAGAATCTGCGAAACAATCCTGACCTTGAGACATGGTCCACCAGTTGTGATTGCAGCAGAAGATCCCTTGTGGGGAGGAGATTATCGCAGATGAGATTTTGATTAGATCTTACAGCAACACCATTTCCAACACACAGGGAGCAAAGGACGTTCAAAACCTATAAAAACAAAGTTGGTCATTAACTTCACCAGAAAAAACTTGATTCCTATTTAAAACTAATGCATGATCTAAGCATCATGAAAATTCCTCAGAATGAAATCACTTTTGAACAACATTTAAAAAAACCTATAGCACATTTCTGAAGGAAACATTAAACTAAAACAGTGATTCACTTAAAAAACAGTGAACTGTGTGTGTGTGTGTGTGTGTCTGCCTGCGTGCGTGCGTGCGTGCACGTGTGTATGCAAGCACCTGCATGCATACATACAGGCGTGTGTAAGCATGCATGTGATATACCTTTGGGTCCCTTCCATGCTTGTCTATGAGTGAGATAATGGTCCTGATGTGTTGTTCTTTGATCATATTCAAAGCCTCAGGACTGTCAATCAGTACACAGTGGAGGACCTCCAGGACACCCTGAGAAGACTGCTGGCTCTCTAGTCTGTTCACCAGCCAGTCCAGTCGATTGCAGTCTGCAAACTGGGCACAGTTGGCTCGGTTACCTCGGATCATAGCAGCTGAAGTATATAATTAGCATTTAGACTGGTGTTAATTCACCCTTCTGTGTAAATACATCAACAACAATGTTGGTATTTTTGTTGTTGGATTTTCTGATACCCCTTAAGAAGGTTGTTAGGTTTTTGCTAATTGTAAAAAACACTGTCCTAGCAATTTTAAAAAAGAAAAAAGCTTGATCTAGAGTTCATGGGGTTTTAAATTATGAAAAGAGACTGTGTAGTTAGTTTCTAGACTGAACAGTTTAACTGTCTGTACATGCAAAAATAAAACTTTCAACTTTTGAATATATTCAAGTTTACTTACTCAACACTTTACTTAGTGATATCTAATAGCAACAAGAATAATTTTTCTGATTTAGTTAACTGAAGATTACTTTTATTCCAAAAAATTATCAATTAATAGTCTTCAATGAAGTAATAATAAATAAAACAGCAATATGCATATAGTAGCTGCCAGACTCTTAAAATTTCAATGTCAAAAAATCTATTTACAATGAAATTCACAAGTTGAAATAAATGGATGTTAATTTCAAATTAATATTTAAAAAAAAAACATCAGTATCAAATTCCTTACCAAGTAACAGATAAAGATAACCAGAAATGTCCTCATAAGTGTTGGCAGCTTCCTCACCAGCATAGTTTGCGAAATGTCTTCTGCTGTGAAATCGACTGAAGTTGTCAATGGTTGACAAAATTAAGGCGATCATACCCTAAAATGAATAAAAGTGTTATCAATTTTAAAAATACATCAATAAATCAAAAATATAGAAAAAGGTAGACCATATATTGTCAAAAACAGCACAGGCTTCAAACAACTGCTCATGCGCGAAAAGTGCACTGTTTGAAATAAACAAGTTGGTGAAATTGACAAAGCCTGCTGTCTGGTTGATTTTATTTCATTTGCTCTCTGGTGTCTTTTTGAAAATTTATATTAGAAATGTTCTATTGATTTTATGTTGTAAAAAGTAAATCCGTCGGAATTCCTTAGAATAACATTTATTTTACCTTCATTTTAAGGGGATTCCCATTGTATTTATAGTGTTATATGTGGCCCCAATGGGGATTTTTCACCCCTCCCCCACTCTTGATTAATAAAATTCTTCATAGGCCAGATTGAAAATGATATTGCAAAATACATTCAAAATCATAGGAAGGTTAATTACAGATAATGCTGCGAGGACATTCTTGTGCAAAGGCGAACGTGGCCAATATAAATTTTTTTACTTCGTCTCCCGGTTTTGGAGTGCCTGTTCTAATTTTTGAAAGTGAGGCAATGGAACCAAACAATACGATGCAATATGTAATCTCGTAAAAATTGCTATTTTTAAATAAAGACCATAGCATGGAGTACATTGAAATGCGACTTGTTTATTATTATGATCTTCAATAATAGTTAATATAAAATATACTATATAATAAGTTCTTGTTCCCGGACTATTTATTAACTTAACTGATTTTTTTTAATATTTGGAGATTAAAAACACAAAAGTTGTCTGGTTTCATATCGAGGCACCACATACTGTCCATGTGCTGTCAAAAACTATATTGTGTATTTATCTGAATTAGATTGCAACTTTTCTTACCTCCTCTTGGAAAAGATCCTGCCTGTTTCTCAATGCTTTTAGTTTTAGTTGTTTCTCTTCATGTTCTGTAAATGTATAATTAAAAGTGTTCAAATTCTAAGTGGTTAGATTCTTTAATTAATTTCACTAAGTTATAGCAAAGACAATGTGGCAGTAATTTTATAATTAAAAATGGACAATTATGTTTATATATATAATTATAACAAGATTGCATGACCCTCAAAACTTATATATTCTCCATTCCCTCATACATATTACTCAACATGAAATTATTCATCTTTCTCTAAAACAACTGGGCTCACTTTATCATTGTTAATATAAGCCAAGTGCAAAAATAATTGCATAACTACATAAATATTGTTTTTCCCATTTACTTAATCACTTATTTAGCTGAAATTGTTTGGTTAAATTCACCAAGATCTCTGACTATGCAGGTTAACCTGGAATGAACACCGTATCAAATATAATATAGTATACCCTCATTTTCCTGTGGCTGTGCGAAATACTCAATGAGGTCTTCAAGACATTTGATGACCTCACTGAGGTTAACTCTTTGCCAGGAGGGGTTGCTGCGGCCTTCAGTTTTCAAGGCATCCAGAGCCCTGAAGACAAAATACATCAATAATAATTATTATCATAATGATAATAGACCTTCAAAATGTTTGGCCATAAATATCTCTAAAATCTAGTAAGCCTGTAATTATTTTCTTTAACTTCTTAACATACACTATTTAAATTCATGAGGGATGAATGGTTATGAATAAAATCATCAAAACAAGGTTAATTATATTGATAAAAAAACTTGAGCATCAACTTAGCTTATTCCCATCTACATTATTTTGAAGGGAAAGTTAATGGACTGTGAACTTTCTTCCAGTCAAAAAGGATTCAATCCACATTATGTAGAGGAAATAAAGAGAGTGAGAAAAGGAACTTACTTGATGAATCTATGAAAGAGGGACTGGCATTTCCTGATAACTCTTGCCGATCTAGACTCCTCCTCTTGAGCTCGAACAAAAGACAAGCCATCATCCATGTGGCCCTCAACAAGCATGACAGCCTGCAAAATCAACCAAGAGATGACTTGATATCTTTAAATGGATGAATAGAAATAAATAAATAATATCAGCCTGAAAAATCAGAAAGAAAGATTTCAAATATCAAAAGCAGAGAGAATACATAACTGTGTACACAAATTATGAATCCATACAGACTATACAGCATATGTCAATAGATGTATCGCTTTACAAGTTACATGATCATTTCATATATATCCAGGCAAGCTGTATTGTGTAATTTTGGTGTTTTTCTTAAAATACTAGCAGAGGTGGGAAATTGCTAACATTTCATTTTGTCAATTTAACTTGCCTCCACCAAGCATATGAATTTTGCCTATTTACATCTATTTGTATCTGAGCAGGTAGATGCCAAGTTATTTGTTGTCAAAAGGCTGATTGGTGGTTTATCAGAATAGAGCATAAAAATGCAATCTATCACCTTGATTCTATCATTTGAATCGCAAGAAGAGAGATCATAAAAGCTATAATTAACTGGTGAATACCATTAAACATAATAGCATATAATATACTCCTGACCCTTAGTGCTTTGATTTTGATCCCCAATTTTCTGGAACAGCCATTACCATATTGCAAATAAAGACGAGAGTGCTCTTTGCTTGACTGGACGCAAATGAGAAAAAGGCAAATGCCATGGCATATCGCATCTCCCCCTGGTTCTATCAATCTTAATGTCAATTCTCTAGCTCTATTTCCAATAAGCCCTCCACTTCCCTTTAGACAGGTTCATTTTTATTATATCAAAGGTCACGTCATCCTGCTGAAGCAGATGGCTTTCTCCTTTTAAAGATATCTGATTATTCCCTCTATCCACCAGACCTCGTAATGACAGGATAATAAACACAGACTGGGAAAAGCGCACTTGATTTTATTGATTTTTAACCATGGCAATAACCACACTAATTGAATTATCAGTATTCGCAATTTTTGACTGCATGTGATAAGCATGGAGGGAAGATTCTGGGTCCATTTCATTGACGAAAGAGTTTCAAAACATAAAAGTAATTGTTGATCAAAAAATTACCCTTAAATAAATATTTGAAGTCACATCTCTCTCCAAATATAAGGAAAAAGAGAAATACTTCTTTTAAAATTATTATGAATAAAAAAGAACAAAAGCTCTATGACCCTTTAAATAATTTCAAAGTTATGGCTTATTCTGCTAAATTCATATAAATTGTTTTTCAACCCTTAGGCAAAACATTACAAATGAGGGTATTCAAAAGTTCCTAATGATGATACAAACTCAAAAGTGATCTTTTTCTGTGCAAGCTCATTCCCTACCAAACAGTATGCATGAATGTGTGTGCATGAATGTGTGTGCATGCATGTGCGTGTGCATATGGTTGAAAAATATGCCCCTTTAATTGGACCCCATTCAATTTTATAACTTTTACCTTCTTTTCCTCTACTCTGCCCACTCCTTTCTTCTTCGTCTCGAAAGTTTGATAGGAAAGCCACAACCCCGTCTGACAGTGTTGCAGAAAAACAATGGAATCGCCATATTTGATGTCGGCCGTGCCCATCCCCTCATCTTCGCGCGCCTCTGAGTGCTTGCGGTCATCCTGCAACAAACATGTTTCAATGCTCAGACATCAAACGATCTCAGTTACATCCTTTTGCTTATTAAGCCATAAAGCTTCATCATCAAACAATTTTTCTTCTTTCTTTAAACATTACAACATGGCAATATCATATAAATAATGATTAATATCTTCATTTTAACATCCCAATGATCATAAACTGATGATGAAGCAGAATAATTATTTGGCTTTATTTTGAACCTATAAATTTATTTTAACATTAATGTATTTTTTGAGTATAAAATATATAAAAACAGATACATCATACATGAATACCAAGAATAATACAATGATAAAAGGTAATACTAAGCTTGTAAATGCCAGGAACCTGGAAAGGAATAAATGTTGGTTCTAGTCAATATGTGTAAGCTGTAATAGAGTGTAATAGTAGTTCCTTTATGGTTGCTAGAACCCACACATGGCTACCTACTTTGGACTGTCTAAGGAAGAAGGCTGTAGTTTCATCTGAGGCATCGTCTCTATGTAGCATGGTCACTTGATTGTCTGCCGTCAAGCCGAGATAGCGTCCTGAGGTGACATGACGAAATCGACAAGGGTGAGCCCAACCCATGAATCCACCTGCCCATCTGAAAACATGGATAATATATACAGTATATACATATCAAGTGACCAGTGACAGCCTTGTGCACACATATTACATACATTTTTGTTATATTTGTTCATAATTAATAGACTAAAGTTAAAATTGATATCAATGGGAAAATCTGTGGCTAGAGAAATGTCACTTCAGTTTTTAATTCAATTTACACTGGATTAAGTGTTTTTTCTCAGGCCTCAGTTAATTACAACTGACATATCCTGCAGGTGGGCATTTTTTCACTGGCAAGAAGCTAATACTGAAGAATTAATAGCTTGGAATAGTGAATCATGTAAAAGGTATTGGTTAAGTTCAACATACAAAGTTCCTTGAGAGAGAGAGAGAGAGAGAGAGAGAGAGAGAGAGAGAGAG